CAAAGGATTTGGTTGTACATCGGTACATACATGTACATTAGTTCCATAGAGTTCCATTCTACAAAGATTGCTTTAAAAGCAAAAAGGTGCATTATGCAGTGTACCTTTCTGTACCTTTCAATCACGTAGGCTACAAAAGTAGCATACACTTTTTGTTATTACAAAATAAGATTCCGCAGAGGTTTAGTTCTGTCAGATATACCTCCCTTCCTGTAGTGATGGCCAACATGGCCTGTAAGGATGACAGCAAAGACAAAGATTACCGGTATGTTGTTACTGTTTGACTCTACAGATATCGACGAATGTACAGCTGGCACGGACAACTGCCACGGTGACGCAACCTGCACTAACACAATCGGCAGTTTTACCTGTTCCTGTAACGTCGGTTACACCGGGGACGGAGTCACTTGTACTGGTAAGAACAAGCGATTTGACTGTACATCTGTAAAATATCATACTAGCTATATGTTAGCTATACAGTATTTACACTACTTTCATTGAGTTTCAATTCACAAAACGTCATACAGATAGGTGTCCTTCCTTCAGCGATTACCACCATGGCCTGTAAGGACGATAGCAAAGAGTAAGACAAAGATTACCGGTATGTTGTTGGGTTTATATCTACAGATATCAACGAATGTACAGCTGGCACGGACAACTGCCACGGTGACGCAACCTGCACTAACACAATCGGCAGTTTTACCTGTTCCTGTAACGTCGGTTACACCGGGGACGGAGTCACTTGTACTGGTAAGAACAAGCGATTTGACTGTACATCTGTAAAATATCATACTAGCTATATGTTAGCTATACAGTATTTACACTACTTTCATTGAGTTTCAATTCACAAAACGTCATACAGATAGGTGTCCTTCCTTCAGCGATGACCACCATGGCCTGTAAGGACGATAGCAAAGAGTAAGACAAAGATTACAAGTATGTTGTTCCGGTTTATATCTACAGATATCAACGAATGTTCAACTGGCACGGACAACTGTCACGGTGACGCAACCTGTGCTAACACAATCGGCAGTTTTACCTGCACCTGTAACGTCGGTTACACCGGGGACGGAGTCTCATGTACCGGTAAGAACAAGCGATTTGACTGTACTGTACATCTGTAAAATATCATACTGCTGGCTATAGAGTATTTATACTACTTTCATAGAGTTTCATTTACAAAACCTATCTGTTTATTAAGCACTGAAATAGCTCTTTCTTCCAGAAAAAAACATAACATCATGACCCGTAAAGAAGAGGTCATTGCGATTTGTCTCTACAGATATCGACGAATGTACAGCTGGCACGGACAACTGCCACAGTGATGCAACCTGCACTAACACAATCGGCAGTTTTACCTGTTCCTGTAACGTCGGTTACACCGGGGACGGAGTCACATGTACTGGTAAGAACAAGCGATTTGACTGTATATCTGTAAAATATCATACTAGCTATATGTTAGCTAATAGTATTTACACTACTTTCATTGAGTTTCAATTCACAAAACGTCATATAGATATAGCTCCTTCCTTCAGCGATTACCACCATGGCCTGTAAGGGCGATAGCAAAGAGTAAGACAAAGATTACCGGTATGTTGTTCCGGTTTACATCTACAGATATCAACGAATGTACAGCTGGTACGGACAACTGTCACAATGATGCAACCTGCACTAACACAATCGGCAGTTTTACCTGCACCTGTAACGTCGGTTACACCGGGGACGGAGTCACATGTACTGGTAAGAATAAGCAATTTGACTATAAATATGTGAAATATATCATATGTTAGACATAGAGTGCATACATTACTTTCATTGAGTTTCAATTCACAAAACGTTTTATAGCTTTATTAAGTACTGCTATACATGTATAGCTCCTTCCTTCAGCGATTACCAGCATGGCCTGTAAGGACGATAGCACAGAGTAAGACAAAGATTACAAGTATGTTGTTCCGGTTTATATCTACAGATATCGACGAATGTTCAACTGACACGGACAACTGTCACGGTGACGCAACCTGTGCTAACACAATCGGCAGTTTTACCTGTTCCTGTAACGTCGGTTACACCGGGGACGGAGTCTCCTGTACTGGTAAGGACAGATATTCTAGCTTCACATTTCACTATTTACTGGGTACCATTCTTGTATTAATAATGTAGGTCACAACACAAGAATGATATTTTCCCTGACAATAATGAGATTCCGCAGAAATTCTGTGCTGTGAGATGTTTCTCCCCCAACCCCCTCCCACCCTCAGTGATGACCAGCATGGTCTGTAAAGTTTGTAGCAAAGAGTAAGGTGAAGACTACTAACATGTTCTTGTGGATTGTTTTCACAGATATCGACGAATGTACAGCTGGCACGGACAACTGCCACGGTGACGCAACCTGCACTAACACAATCGGTAGTTTTACCTGCTCCTGTAACGTCGGTTACACCGGGGACGGAGTCACCTGTACTGGTAAGAACAAGCGATTTAACTGTACATCTGTAAAATATCATACTAGCTATACGTTAGCTATACAGTATTTACACTACTTTCATTGAGTTTCAATTCACAAAACGTCATATAGATAGGTGTCCTTCCTTCAGCGATTACCACCATGGCCTGTAAAAACGATAACAAAGAGTAAGACAAAGATTACAAGTATTTTCTTCCGGTTTATATCTACAGATATCAACGAATGTTCAACTGGCACGGACAACTGTCACGGTGACGCAACCTGCACTAACACAATCGGCAGTTTCACCTGCACCTGTAACGTCGGTTACACCGGGGACGGAGTCTCCTGTACCGGTAAGAACAAACATTTTAGCTTTTAAATTTCACTGTTTACTGTGTACCGATCTTGTATTGATATGTAGATCACAACACAAGAATGATATTTTCCCTGACAATAATGAGATTCCTCAGAAATTCAGTGCTGTGAAATATAGCTTCTTTCCCCACCCTCCTCCTCCAGTGATGACCAGCAATTGCTGTAAAGTTTGTTTTAAAGAGTAAGGTGAATACTACTAATATTTTGCTGTGATTCAATTTCACAGATGTCGACGAATGTACAGCTGGCACGGACAACTGCCACAATGACGCAACCTGCACTAACACAATCGGCAGTTTTACCTGCACCTGTAACGTCGGTTACACCGGGGACGGAGTCACCTGTACTGGTAAGAACAAGCAGTTTAATTGTACATCTGTAAAATATCATAATATTATAGAGTGTATACACTTCTTTGATTGTGTTTCATTTCACAAAACCTCTTATAGATTTATCTAGAACCGATGTAGCTCCCTTACTTCTGTTATTACGACCATGGCCTGAAGGATGATAGCAAAGAGTATGACAAAGATTACTTGATGATGTTTCGGTTTGTATCTACAGATATAAACGAATATACAACATTTCATCACCTGTGACTGTTTATTGTATGCTGTTCTTGTATCGATAATGTAGATCACAACACAAGAATGATATTTCCCCTGACAATAATGTGATTCCTCAGAAATTCAGTGCTGTGAAATATGGCTTCTTTCCCCACCCTCCTCCCCCACTGATGACCAGCGATTGCTGTAAAGTTTGTATTAAAGACAACTAACATTTTGCTGTGATTTGCTTTCACAGATATCGACGAATGTGCAACTACCACGGACAACTGTCACAATGATGCAACCTGCACTAACACAATCGGCAGTTTTACCTGCACCTGTAACGTCGGTTACACCGGGGACGGAGTCTCCTGTCCTGGTAAGAACAAGCGATTTGACTGTATATCATTAAAGTATCATACTGTTAGCTAAAGAGTATTTACACTACTTTCATTGAGATTCATTTCTTAAGACGCCTTATAGATTTATTAAGCACCGATACATATAGCTCCCTTCTTCCAGTGACAACCACAACATCATGACCTGTAAGGATAGCAAAGAGTAAAGACAGAGATTACTAATATGTTGTTGCGATTTGTATCTACAGATATCGACGAATGTACAGCTGGCACGGACAATTGTCACAATGACGCAACCTGCACTAACACAATCGGCAGTTTTACCTGCTCCTGTAATGTCGGTTACACCGGGGACGGAGTTTCCTGTACTGGTAAGAACAAGCAGTTTAATTGTACATCTGTAAAATATCATACTGTTATAAGAGTGTATACACTGTTTTGATTGAGTTTTATTTCCCGAAACGTACTGTAGATTTATTAAGCATTTATGTAGCTCCCTTACTTCTGTGATTACGACCATGGCGTGATCATGAAGTATGATAGCAAAGAGCATGACAAAAATTACTTGATGATGTTTCGGTTTATTCCTACATACAGATATCAACGAATGTGCAACTGACACGGACAACTGCCACAATGATGCAACCTGTACTAACACAATCGGCAGTTTTACCTGCAGCTGTAACATCGGTTACACCGGGGACGGAGTCTCCTGTACTGGTAAGAACAAGCATTTTAATTGTACATCTGTAAAATATCATAGTATTATAGAGTGTATACACTTCTTTGATTGTGTTTCATTTCACAAAACGTATTGTAGATTTATTAAGCATTTATGTAGCTCCCTTACTTCTGTGATTACGACCAGGCCTGAAAGATGATAGTAAAGAGTATGACAAAGATTACTTGATGATGTTTCGGTTTGTTCCTACATACAGATATCAACGAATGTGCAACTGGCACGGACAACTGCCACAATGATGCAACCTGCACTAACACAATCGGCAGTTTTACCTGTTCCTGTAACATCGGTTACACCGGGGACGGAGTCTCCTGTACTGGTAAGGATAGGCGATTTGGCTGTACATCTGTGAAATATATCATATGTTAGATATTCAGCATTTACACTACTTTCATTGAGTTTCATTTACAAAACGTTTTATAGATTTATTAAGCATTAATATAGCTCCCTTTCTCCAGTGATGACCATCGCATCATGACTTGTAAGGATAGCAATGAATAAGACAGAGGTAACTAGTATGTTGCTGCGGTTTGTCTCTACAGATAACTCTTATAAGAGTGTATACACTTCTTTGATTGAGTTTCATTTCACAAAACGTATTGTAGACTTATTAAGCACTCATATAGCTCCCTTACTTCTGTGATTACGACCATGGCCTGAAAGATGATAGCAAAGAGTATGACAAAGATTACTTGATGATGTTTTGGTTTATTCCTACATACAGATATCAACGAATGTGTAACTGGCACGGACAACTGTCACAATGATGCAACCTGTACTAACACAATAGGCAGTTTTACCTGCACCTGTAACGTCGGTTATACCGGGGACGGAGTCTCCTGTACTGGTAAGGACAAGGAATGTAATTGTACATCTGTAAAATATCATAATATTATAGAGTGTATACACTTCTTTGATTATGTTTCATTTCACAAAACGTATTGTAGATTTATTAAGCACTTATGTAGCTCCCTTACTTCTGTGATTACGACCATGGCCTGAAAGATGATAGTAAAGAGTATGACAAAGATTACTTGATGATGTTTCGGTTTGTTCCTACATACAGATATCAACGAATGTGCAACTGGCACGGACAACTGCCACAATGATGCAACCTGCACTAACACAATCGGCAGTTTTACCTGCACCTGTAACGTCGGTTACACCGGGGACGGAGTCACCTGTACTGGTAAGAACAGACATTTTAGCTTCGATCACATTTCATTTCATCACCTGTGACTGTTTATTGCGCACTGTTCTTGTATCGATAATGTAGGTCACAAAACAAAACAAAAACTATATTTTCTATGACAATAATGAGATCCCGCAGAGGTTCAGTGCTGTGAAATATAGCTTCTTTCCCCACCATCCTCCCGCAGTGATGATCAACGCTCGTTGTAAAGTTTGCATCAAAGAGTATAGGTGAAGACTAGTAATATGTTGCTGTGGTTTGTTTTCACAGATATCGACGAATGTACAGCTGGCACGGACAACTGTCACAATGATGCAACCTGCACTAACACAATCGGCAGTTTTACCTGCACCTGTAACGTCGGTTACACCGGGGACGGAGTCACCTGTACTGGTAAGAAGGACAGATTGGATATACATCCACAAAATATGACAATGTGTACTATGCATTATCATTCTACTCGAAGTCTAAAAAAATTAGCACTGTTACACATTGCACACTGTTAGCATATTTATATATATGCCAATTTTTACACGCAATTAGTTTGATTGTTTTTGTTTGCTGCTTGTTTTTACAGATATCGACGAATGTACAGCTGGCACGGACAACTGCCACAATGATGCAACCTGCACTAACACAATCGGCAGTTTTACCTGCACCTGTAACATCGGTTACACTGGGGACGGAGTCAACTGTACTGGTAAGAACAAACAATTTGGCTATAAGCTAAGTATAGCTTATGTATAAAGCACGGATCTATCTCACCATACAAAATTTACAAAGATATCACACTATACATACCAATGTGCATTACTACCAACTGGTTCGATTGATATTGCTGTTTGTTTTTACAGATATCAACGAATGTGCAACTGGCACGCACAACTGCCACGCCAACGCAACCTGCACTAACACAGACGGCAGTTTTACCTGCACCTGTAACCCCAGTTACACCGGGGACGGAGTCAACTGTACTCGTTTTGGTAAGAGCAAAAGATTTGATTACACATAAATAAAACACAATACTATCAATGTACGTATACCTTCATTGCTTCTATAAAGTTCAACTTTACAAGTCTACCACACGGTAACGTCCGAGACCATTAAATTTTGTATCATTTCCGTGTCAATACATCGGTCGCAAAATGTCTGCCCTTTTTGTTTAATTCGCATCAAGTGTCGTTACGTGTCAAAGGTCATACACATTATGTAAACACAAAACAAAAAATTACATCGTCTAACAAAGTCTCTCATCGTCGGCAGAATGCCCAGAGGGGAAGTGGGGACCTCCAAGTTGCACAGGGGACTGTGTCGAGTGTAACTCACAAGGCGTCTGTGATGACCAGACAGGGCAATGTGTTTGTTACCCGGGATACAGTGGACTGAACTGCGATGCAGGTAACTTTATGAAAACCATTGAAAAAAAACAATTATACATGCCATGCGCCTTGTCCTTTTGTCCAGCTAAGTACTGTTTCGTTGCGTACTTAACTTGCATTCTAACGACCAACCAAAAATGACTCGTACGATTCGAACAAGAATGATTCACATTTTGTTGAGAATGAAGGGTAATCATGAGTCTTTTGGGCGTCTTGAAGCTAGAAGTGTGATTTAGGAACTTCCGTTGCCACTACAGTCATCACTAGATGTTCCAAAAACAAATATGATCAAATATGTGGTCTTGAGGGAGTCCATGTTCCAAAGACCCCTCATTCTGATATTGCAAGTTTACGTCGTATTTTATGGTAAGTGTTCCTAAGTCAAAGTTATGTAACGGTGGAATTGTTCACTTTTACACGAACACGAACCCTTCCTTTTACATGTTTTTCCCTCATTAGACGTGGACGAATGTGCTCTGGAAACTGATAAATGTGCGCAAGTGTGCAACAATACATATGGAGGTTACAACTGTTCCTGCTGGGCAGGGTACACACTACAGGACAACGGGCTGTACTGCGATGGTAGGTCTCACATCACCTCTTTCTCTTTCGCCGCATCAACATTTTTATTACCTTGGCCAAGAAGGTCATGATGCATGTTTTTGGTGGCGTTTTTATGTACATGTGTGTGGTATATGTATGTGGTTTAGCGCGCGTATAACTCAAAAGCTTTGGATGGATTGTCAATTAACTTGGGAGATAGATGAATAGGTCTTTATATTTGCATAATTAATGAGGAACCTTTTTTACTAGTACCATATAGCTAGATAACGTTGACCAGTCAGTAGACTCCATTTCCCCCGGCCCATAACCCAGGCCATTAATGTCCGATACACTATCAGCTTAATCATCAAATAACCGCAGGTGACCCCAAATGGAACAGAATTCTGTTCCAATGACCTGGGGTGACCCCAAATGGAACAACATTCTGTTCCAATTGGGAGACCCCAAGTGGAACGCGCATTCTATTCCAATCGCATGAATAGAGTGCATTATGTTCCAATGACCTGGGGTGACCCCAAATAGAACAGAATTCTGTTCCAATGACCTGGGGTGACCCCAAATGGAACAGTATTCTGTTCCAATGGGGAGACCACAAGTGGAACGCGCATTCTATTCCAATCGTATGAGTAGAGTGTACGGTCCGAGTCGATGACCGCCGGCGACCCCGCTTTCAACAGGTAAAACTCAAAAGGACATACCATATCGCAAATGTACATTTAGTTTACAAAACCTAAAATAGTTACATGCTATATGATAATAACGTTAATGACCCACTTTCCGTCGGTGTATAAGCGGACGAGACCGTTTATAAGGTGGTTATAGGAACCGAGTCAATCAATCATGAATTACGATGCCGTATACACTTCAGTGCGTGTCATTCACCATCAGTCATTAAGGTTAACATCAATTAAGGGACGTATAACATCCTTATGCGTGTATGGATACATGTATACCTTCACCTGTGGCTAATCTGTACGCTGAAGTACACCTTATATAATAGGGGACCTCAACAAGTAAGTACAACTAAGCAATTAGATAACTAGAGTACGTAAATGAGTAAGCTGACCATTCTAGGACTTGAGGTGAAAAGAAACAGAAATGAAGCGATAAATCCCAGCGGATATTTAAAAAAAGTTTTTGTCGCTGTTACTGCAGCTGTTTTATATCAAACGTGTTCACTACATGTATTTCCTAGAAATGTGACTTTGTCCCCTGGCACCTGGAGGACGGTAATGCACCTGCGTTAACTACTAAGTAAATGTTTGAATTCTAGAGGTTTGAAATAACCGTGAGCTCCACTTTTTTTATCAAATCACTCCTCGTCCACCATGGTATCTTTCTTCCCGATGTTCTCGCCTTCCTCGATGGTAGCCGGAAGTTTCCTCCCGATCGTTTCCGGCAGCAGCAGCGTCAGCAGCCCGGCGGCGATCGACATTCCTCCGAAGATGACGTAAGGCATCGGCGCCCAATAGCTGCCGAGTAGATTCACGAACGGGGCGACCATGCCGCCGACACGAGCGGTCATGGAAGACATGCCCATCCCGATTTGCCTGCGTTGATAATCGTGTGACAAAGTATCAGTACAATAGGCATTTGATCATGAGACTGAGTTAAAGCATATATTTCGATGCAGTTTTACGATTTTCAACAAGACTATGAGCAATCCCTCAGAACAAATTCATTCTACAACTGCTTAGAACAAGAACATGTACCCTGAAGACTACGTAACGTCAGAAATCCAGAAAAGTCGCTTAAATCTAGGTTTTATTCGTAATATTCTTGAATATAACGTGTCTGATATTACTAGTACCTTACTACAGTAGGGAAGATCTCAGCTGAGAAGATGTAGATAACTGCGAAGGAAGCGGTGATGCAGAACTTGCCAGTCATGGCCAGAGTGGTGGTCATCCAGCCAAGGTCTGTGAAATATGAAGAATGTCACATGTTCAGGACCCCCTTGGCCAATTTTACTCTCCTTTTTGCCGAATTCTAAGATCCGTATTCCCGTAGAAAGGCCTGGTGGAGGCTACATACCCCTTGCTAATTATATGGCGGACCTTATTGGACCCCGTACCAGTAGATCTCACGTTGCGTCATTGTCACGCGACTTCAAACACCCAACCACTCTACATGAGGACAAGGTGAAGATTTAGAGAAAAGAAAGCAAATCTCTTTTCGTGTTTGTCGTACGTACGTTTGGGAATGAAGAAGGCCACGATACAGGCGACGCCTCCGAACAGAAGCAGCGCACACAGAGGCCAGCGTCTTCCGAACCTACAGGGGTAGTACGAATCCGACGGAACAGAAACTTACAATGTTTCAACAGTACTAGTTCTTCACTCTTAATTACTAGTATATTGTTTCTCTTCATCCTCTTTGAGGCAGGGAAAGAAACTATTTTACTTTCTCCAATAGTTTATTCTGTTGGCAATTATAGGTTCCGGTAGTCTTTATTTATGCTTAGTACACAATGCAGTGTAATTTACGGGCTGTTTCATTTTTTACCTACTAGACGTGTGGGACCTCCTGAGGCTGCCGAGGTCGGCCGGGCTCCTGGTTATTTTAAACTAAAAGTCAAAATCAACCCTATTGACAAAAATACGCCGTTAGCCTAATCGTGATGACACCGACAATTTTCTTTCGGTGCCGGGTAGTGTAATTTACCGAGCAATTTACATAGCGCCCGGCCATCGGCTACACCCTTTACGATCATTAGCGTAAGCATCCTTTGGAATAACTTAAACTGAAACAGCTAAATGCCGACTAAATAGTTACAACATACCTATCCAGGATGAAAATTGAGATCAGATACGCCGGGATCTCGATGAAACCGGAAATGGCGAAGTTCAAGTAAAAATTCCCGCTCAGGGCAGCCGTGTTGAGGGATATCCCATAATACACCAGGGTGTTGACGACCCTGCATTGATTAAGAACACGACACTGTTAACCCATTGTAATCTAATCTCAATGATCCCAAATCCAAACATATACAAGTCTGATCTCTAGCATTTATTTTGCAGATTAATTGGCAGAGAGAGTGTAACAGATGTAGAAGTAGAAACAGACAGGCACTTTACTTACCAGTTGAAGAAGATGTTCAGAGTCCACTTTCGAAGTTTCGGGGTTCTGAACAGGTCGATAAACGTGTAGACCCTCTCCTTTTTCTTAGCCTTTTCTTCATTCTTAATCAATGATAAAGACAAAACAGATATTCTAACTCACCAAAGCGATTTTAGGACACTGTAAAACTGGAGTTTCAAAGTCAATTTTCTGGTTATTTTTTAAACGTAGTAAGATGAATCAACCCGTATGGCCATAGGATGCTGAATCAAAAATGCGATGTCGCTAACGTTGACGAAAAACGGTTGCTCGAATCGTATTGTAGCTATAGGCGCGTCGTTTGTGGTGGTACCAAACAAAAATGAATAAATATAAATAATATAAATATAATATATTATCGATATTGTTCAATCTTCGTACACGCAATCAGCTCTGACGGGCCCCGGTTTGGAAATGTGCTCTCAGCATTACCTGTGTCAGCGGGATGGTGTCGTGGAACACCTCATCAGGCAGAGTAACCTTCGTAACTTCCGCGGCTTTCCGCAAGATGGCCGCCGCCTCCTTGTGGCGATTCCTGGAGATCAACCATCTTGGAGACTCGGGCATAATCCTGGGGGGTAGGGGTGGGGAGCATTTACAACGTTGTATGTAAATCAAACAGGCCTTGCTTGACAAAAGAGGGGAGCGCTATCAGTAGGTAGGGAACACAGAAAATAAAGACCTCATCTAGATCTGTGTTCAAACGGTTTTCAATCCGTAATGCTTTAACTATAAGGAGACGTTTTTGGGATGCCAGGGATCACGCCGCATAGAGAGCAAGTGTATATTAGACCACCTTTCACGTGTGACACTGAATATAACTTTTTGTTCAGTTTCTATCACTGTCTCTTGACAATACTTCGATCATGGCACTTTAATTTTCCTGATGAAAGAAGAACAGGAAAGAAACGAAAAACTGACCACCAAAATGATATGAAGAGGAGAAACGGCATGGTGATGGTGATCTGCAGCCACATCCACGTCCGTATGAAGAAGGCGATCCCGGGTAGAAGTACGTACGCAAGGGCAAAGGGGACCCAGATGACCATCCCCACCATGCTCCGCTTATTGGCGGAAACCAGCTCTTGTGCTGGGGGAGGGAGGTGAGGTGTCAGACTGGGTACCAGTAACCGCTAATAATAAGCTCTTACAAAATCTCTTTTCTCCGTTAGAAAGAGCTCACGATACAATAAAATTGTACATCTAAGTCCAGTCTTATTAGCATTAGTCCAATTCAAGTCAAAAAGGTGACCAATTATTTGAGTCACGCATCGTCATCACCTTAGCTTAGAATCTAAGCTATGATTTAGAATGTTATTCTTTCCGTAGAAAGGGTAGGTTTGATTTTGCGGCTGTTGATGAACTGCATAAATAAACTTGTATCTAATAATACTATCTGGTATGCCTCAATTACAAGTTGCACTCAAATGACCTCAATTACACGTACCCATCACAAAAAGAGCCAAGCTTGTGACGGTGGTGCTCGCGGCTATGATGAACCGGATGGCCATGAACGCTGCGTAGTTGGGTGAGAAGGCACACGCTATCCCGGACACGTAGTCAACTGCCAGGGACACCAACAGAACTGGTCTTCGGCCCCATCTTGGAAACGGTACCCAAAATTAATGACTTATATAGCAATCATATATATATATTTTTATAATGTGCTGTAGTGAGCAATACCCACTGATTGTACAATGGCTCAATCAGTGGGCAATCAGTGGCTCACAGCTGCCAAGTTCTCAATTGCAATGAAGGAGGTGTCGATGGACTCTGACTTTGAAGGACTGCAGTCCGTTGTTGTTGATGTTACCCACAATGGAGTCTGGGAGTTGGTTCTACTGGTTCTATTTGTTTCTACCTTGGAAACGTGATACTTACTTATAATGGTACATCAAAAATAAACTTAACCGGTTGTTTATTTACTAACTTAAAAAACAAAGCCCATGAGGAATTGCTTGCTTCCATCAAGTACATACTATGTTATAGCAAAAATGTGCATTCGAGTTGAATGATTCTCATAACCATCTCAATGTCGAAAGAATTCTGCAAACGGACATTCGCAGGTTAGAGACAGGCGAAGATAACCTGCGACTATTGGCGGTAAAGGATGCGCAAACTTTTATTTCGTCTTGCTTTTTTCACGTTCTTTTTATTTTCAAAGCAACAAGAACAGAAATAGACATGCAAGGCACAGGTACTGCAATCAAACCTAGAAAGGTAACATTTGCAAAGCAAATGCATAATGTTTACCTTCGCATATGGTCTGCTCTGTTAATTCTTACTCAAATACATTCATATGGTCAGACAGGAGTATAAATCTCACCTACTTTAAAAGTGCAATATTATGTAACCCAACACCAGTTACTATGGTCAGAGGTCAGTGTTTGGAACGGAATACGAAGAACTGAAACGTAGCAAAAAGAATATGTTTTCCTTCGGTAAACATAATACATGAACACAAAATTACTTAAAATAGATTTGTACAAATATATTAATATATATTCATACAAATTCGTTTACATTAGAGTCTGTGGTCGTACCTGTCTGCCGCGTGTCCGCCCAAAACCGCTCCGGCCATTTTACCCGCGAACCAGAGAGACTTAGCCAGCTTCACTTTCCAACTGTTGTCACAAACAAGGTCCCACTGGAGAGAAATATACAGTCAGGTGGTCGCAACTAGGCAATAGACCGACCCTAAAGAATATTTCCAGCTTTTCCAACCTGAAATTGTATTGGGTGCCTTTGCTCAAAGGGAAAGACTTTCCTATCATAATTACCTTTTCATTGACACAATGTCACTGATGTGATGAAATGGAATCAACTCACGTCTGTGACAACAGTGCTCTTGTACTCGGACGTGTCGTACTCGTACCCTTGGTCACACGGAATCTGCGACCTGTTGGCCGCAGGGTGTTTTTCCTCAAAGTCTCCATAGTTAGTGGTGTTGAACGTTGATTCGGAAGGGCCGTAACTGTAACTAATGTAATTTAGGCATTTTAAATCATTCTCACATTTGTAGTGATTAAACATGGAAAAGAAAAAGCCATGCATTGGACAAAGAGTATACACGATGGAGAGACCAACCGTTTGCACTGACTCCGTTTCCACTCCCCGTCTCTCATCTCCCAGGGGATGGTCACGTTCATCAGCTCGGCCGGGGTCGCCTCTTGCCCCGAGAAGTTGGCCTGGGGCACCCGGCAGTGGAAGTCGGGCTCGACGGCCAAGAAGACGATACCAAATAACTGGAGGGCGTTGATGCCAATAGGCAGGCAGATGAAGAAGAACACTCTCTTTTGCCAGGGTCCGAACCCGCCTAGGTAGTCCAAAGCACGGTCGTAGTTCACTCTAACCTGTACAAAAGGTTACATGTACATGTAGGTAAAACATATGGCTAATTGCTGAACGATAGAGTTTGATTTGAAGTAAACCGGGGTCAAGGTTTTCACAAACAATGCATTTTGCATGTATTAAAAATATAATCCAAAGTTGTAAATACTATGGTTTAAAACAAACTCTTGTGAGAATGAACTTCGAAACTCTTGCTTCACCACTTATCGCGTATATATATATATAGTCCTCTATGACGTAAGACTTGGAAGCTACGCCCTCTTCCGGTATAGGTAGGAAGTGAGACAAAAGCTTGAGGGGAGGGACCAGCTAATCGGCATGCGCAGAACTAGCAGTACTTATTTCTTAGATAATTTTTTTCCTGGGCAAATTTTGCTCAGAAAGGCCCAGTTTTCTGGTAAGAAGGACAGAAGAATGTACATTTTTAAAATATGGCAAAAAAGTGTGACCTTTTCCGTGGTTTGAGTGTTATTGACCTCTAAAACACAAAGATCTGTGTGGACTGTTCCACTTTGCCAGGGGGTGAAATCCTGGTCTCATTTCAGTATTTTAGCTGTAGCTCATTATCACGCAGGAGTTGAACTTCCACTATTTGTACCAAAAGACACCTGATCAAATCCAGCTTTCCAGTGGGGGTAAAGACTTGAGGTTTGAAATAAAAGTAAATGTGTTTTAAAGTGTTTGTTTCTAGTGGTTTTAGCATAGATTTCAATGGGATCTCCTTAACTGGTCCCTGCCCTTGAGGGTGCTTACCGACGCGTCGTCCCTGACCTCCCCATGCACTCCGTTTGGGCACATCAAAGCTGCTTCGGTGCCGTTTTCGTTTTCAGCCATGTTTTATCCTCTTGCGTGTTGACAATACACCTGTAAGAAAGAAGTTCTGAATCAGTAGCTAAACGTAAATGTTAGTGTGGCCTGACCATTACAGCTGCAAAAGTAGATCATAGAAAAGCAACCTCTAGCTCTATAAGGTTATGACTAGCCAGTGCTAACTCGCCCCGGGGCAAACTTGTTTCTAAAAGGTGCGTGTGGCCCAGTTAAAACGACGCCGACTGACAATAAAAATAGCGTCCCCACAATTCCAGACAAGTTTGCCCTAGTGCGAGCTTCAAACCTCTGTAGCTATAGCGGTATTGCTAACAAACTAGCCACAAGCTTCTAAGCATACTGAAGAATAGTGTAGTATAATTAGTTACTTCCTCCCCCAACTTGAATGCAACGTCTCTCTCTATCTAATATACATAAATCCGACCGGTCTATCGTCATGTGTGGCTTCACCGGGCACATACATTTGAGATCGAGATTCCACAACTCAAACAACTCCAAGTTTGAGTTGGCAAGTCAAACCTTACCTGAAATCGTGTTAACCGTTGTCGGTGTATCTAATACCATGTTACACGATAGAGAACTGAGGAACATTACTTGTGCACCTTACTGTGTGGCACAATCCCAACAGTCGAACTTGTACAAAAAATGAGATTCATAAGGACATAATTCTTACCTCAGCCCGTAGGTAAGTATTATAGAGTCAAGTCGGTGAATCTAGTAGGCGTGTCACAAGACAGAGAACGCCGAAGACTTTTACAGGACTTGACATGCACGCGCGCGTAACAGGCCACAGGCTAATTTTGATAACCTGTCCGACTGGGTGTAGGTAGCAGTCTCGCGTCTCTAATTATAACTGCCCAGTGATATGTGAACTACTTGGACACTTATGGGAAATTCTAATGCATTAATTATTACGTTCCTTCGCCAAGAAGGTCATGTTTTGCGGTAGCGCTTGCGTGTGTGTGTGTGTGTGTGTGTGTGTGTGTGTGTGTGTGTGTGTGTGTGTGTGTGTGTTTCTGTCTGTCTGTCTATCAACACCTAACTCAAGAAGGCTTTGATAGAGTGTCTTGACATTTGCATAGTCAATTTTACATCTATAATTCGTCAGTCGTAAAGTTAAATATTTTGTCGAAAGTATATGAGGTTATGGAACTCTTCTTTTCTCTTGTTTCCGTTTTTTCTCTTCTACAATAAAAAAAAAGAACTATGATGTGGTACCACGGACATAGACATGACAATGTTCTGCCTTCCCCTCAGGCCCAAAGATAGACCTGTACATGGAGCTGTGCACCAATGAGTCCACAGGAGCCAGAACTAGTGTCCTGCAGGCCTGAGATGGAGGGGTTGACCTTGATAGATGGTTACCACATCGGGATTAAACTAGACACAGGTACAGGCTACATCAAAGTATAATATTTGTGGTTCATAAACAGTATCTTAAGTCTTACATGACCTTAAGTTAACTCAGTGTGTTGGATTGGACGTTCCGGGGCTTGGGTGTCTCTAACTACCTTAAAAACAGTGATCAATGACTTTTACTGAAACTCCTCTGTTTTCTAAAACTGTGAGCACGCATGGAATAAAGCATTTGGCATGTCACACTCTAGAATGTACTTCATTATCAACACCATTTAAGACCATCTATACAAGTCTTGTCTTTCCGTTGTGCAGGTTATGGTACCAACATAAGCTACCTAACCTACGGGACACAGTACGAGACTGAAGTAAATGCTGAAGGGGTACCATACGGCCTGGAACTCCACCATGCCGCCGGAAACTTTCGCACGAACGCCTATTCCTGTAAAACAACCCGCAACGGGTTAACACGTGAAGTCATCGGGTTTGTTATGTTACAGGAAGGTAAGTTTCGAGGCAGGGCTACGAAATACAGAAGAACTTCATTGCACGACAATTGCACATGGTACAATGTATGGCAAACTACATAAAGAGAGTAACAAACAATAAAATAAATGTGTTGAATAAGACCTAATGTCGAATGAAATCTAACATATCTTTATTATTCAAACAATAAGGGATAGCACATGTCATGCATATGCAGGTTAGCGCAGGTATTTCTGATATTTACTTGCACCTAACCTGCACTGGTACATGTACTGGGTTTACGAGTACATACTAATTTAGGTGTGTGTGGATTTTTATTTGCTGCATTGCCGGTTACTACTTATGAAGTATTAAAGAAATAATTGCAATGGTTTCTGAAGAGTTTTAGTATGATCCATATTTCCTAAATTCCGAATGGTGCAGGTACAATTTGTCTGGTGTAGGCAATTTTCAATAGTACCTGCGTCATTTCATGTATGCAGAAAAATAGGTATTTCGAGTCCTGTGAGAGAAACGTGGTCTTCACCAAACAATATGGCAATAACCAAGTCTTTATTTCGACTACATTGTAGTTCTTCTTTACGTTGTACAATTTAAACTTTGTACAGTAAAGCTGAGTAGCGCTAGAGAATAGAGAATGCTTTTCTCAATTTTGTCAGCACTTTTGTGCATGTTCATACAGGGCACAAGACTATAGGTTCTCAGAAAACCCATATTTTTCCATCCACACGCAGCTTACTATAGACCCAAGGCGTTCACAGTTACCGTGAACATCAACGGAAACGCGACGCTGGAGATGTTCCCGGCTAACGCGCCCCCTGGCGGCCATGACGGTTCGACAGAATGGAGGAAGGATGGCACAGTCTTGCCGGGAGTCGACAATGACTGCACACGTACCATATCCAACGTTCAGGTTAGATTCTTATTCCATTATGTCATTTTCAATCAACGCCTTTCGTGACTTCTTGCAAGGCCTTGGAAATCATACAAAATACGATACCATGCTTAATGCAATTAATATTTATTTATAAGGGTGGATATTCAAAGAAAACTCTTATGCTGAGATCACATTTCCAAGCCGGGGCCCGGCCGGGTAGTTTCTAGGAACGAAAAGTATGACATAAAAGACATCAAGACACAAAGGATTTGCAACAATTGATTATGAGCACTATCTGTACATAATCATGATATGGATTGTTTATTTTTCGTTCACGTAAACAGCCCGGCCGGGCCCCGGATTGGAAATGTGACCTCAGCGTTAGTTATGAACTCTTGTATTACAAATTCCACATATGAGAACTAAAAAACAGAGGTTGAATAAAAAAAAACTTCTTAGGCAGTCTGCTGGCAACGTGATGAAATTATTCAATCTACAAAGTATCATCTATGTTGCGAAGGTCTCTGTTTTGTGGTTTCTTTCGATAGATGTCGGACGAAGGTTTGTACGAGTGCTACTTGACTGGCAGGTACAGTGAGAGCAAACAGGGCATCGTGAGGCTCATCGTTAGAGGTACGTTATGTGTTTAAAATGTGTGTGTGTGTGTCTGTGTTGTGTTGTGTGTGTATGTGTGTGTGTGTTTGTGTGTGTGTGTGTGTGTGTGCCTACGTGTGTGTGCTTTTGCACGTGTGTTTGTGTGTATGGGTGTGCTTGTGTACGTTTGTTCGTGTGTACGTGTATGTATCTGGGTGCTAGCAAAAAAATCAAATTTGAGACTATATGTAATATCTATATATAGTGGCGTGCTTAAGTAAGTGACAGCAGCAACAATGTAATGGATGGACTGAAAATGACACTGGGAAGGGTTAGTGACAAAATGCCCGCACATGCATGTACATATAATTATGTACACAAAAGTTCTTGCAACAAAGACTCTCCTGTTCGACAGAATGCCCAAAGGGACAATGGGGACCTCCAAGTTGCACCGGGGACTGTGTGGAGTGTAACTGGCAAGGCGTCTGTGATGACCAGACCGGACAATGTATCTGTTACCCGGGATACGGTGGACTGAACTGCAATTTAGGTACCGATGTGCAGTTTTACATTCTGAAAACTACTGAACACGAAAAAAAAAACGAACACACACACACACACACACACACACGCACGCACGCACGCACGCACGCACGCACGCACGCACGCACGCGCGCACGCACGCGCAGACCAATTCAAATTCTATTGAAGCTACGATATATTGTAATATGCGGATCACTGATATTCTACGCAACAAACGTAGCCCAATTGGCCATGGGCAGTTTTCAAGTTTTCGACACATTGACGGCGTGCACTAGTGTGCTACAAAGCAAGGTATTCGGTACCATCATATCGTTTAATTTTTACAATGTCAGTCAGTCAGTCATTCATGTAGTACTACATGTATTTTGTGTTGTACGTTAATTGTAAGTTTTTATCTTCGTACACTTGTAGTGATCGATAGACAACTAAGCACTGCTTGAGTCAGTGACACACATGTTGTTTGCTGCCCCAGCCTGCCCCGATGGTTACTATGGGGACTCCTGCATCGGCAGATGTCAACACCTCTGCTCCTCTGAACTGGTCTGTGGTCCGGACCCGTTAGGATGTAGATGCTACCGCGGCTTTAAGCATTCCCCTTCAAGCTTCGACCCCTGCTCTGATCGTAAGTCCTTTGTGACAACAATTCATTTCATTCAATGGAGCCATTTCTCGAACGGAAAGATAAAAATGTATTGAAAATATTGCAAGTTGAAAAGATTGAAATTGATTGAAAATATTGAAAAGATTCATAGTTATCGGTTTGAAATGACAGTTTTTATTTTACATACAATGCCAGAGAACCCCTGCCGCTTTGCGTTCATACGGTAAAATTCTAAAGCCAAATCTTTTCTCGGATCCGTATTGAATATCATATATGAGAATTCTAGAGTGTACTTTTCTGTGACCCTTAAAGTAATCAGCAACATCAGTGACGTTGTCGCTGTTGATTAAGGCTTGGATGAAACACACCACCGTCACATCAATGACGTCTTGTTGTCTCAGAGTGTACCTTAGGTGAATACGGCCCTGACTGCATGTACACGTGTCACTGTGCCATGGGGGACTCGTACTGTGACTACCGGACAGGCGAGTGTTCCAGCGGCGGCTGTGAGGCTGGCTGGCAGGGGACATCATGTCATATAGGTACGGCAAACGAGCATTGCATATTTTTCACTTCACTTTTTCATTCTGAAAATCATATAAATGGACATGTACACATCTAATGGCTACGTACATGATGCCATTTTTGATGCTGGGTACATGGCTAAGCACCGATTGTTGTAGCTTGGCATCAAATAATTATAATTGCTTTTACAGTTGCCAATGCCCATGTAAAAATTACACGAAAAGTTGAATTTTCCTATTGTAGTAAAGTAGGGTGATCTTTATTTGTTGACCGTACCAGACTTTACAATGATACTCAATGAAACAAATATCAAGAACGGTAATCGTATTTACAACCCTTGATTAGTCCGTAATCACTGTACTTGACTTTTACTTACTGTCACTGTAAAGTCCAGAGTACCATTTATAATAAAGTTAACATTGCCCAACGTTGCTGGTATTTATCATAATTGGTAAATCCAACTTTTCGTGAAGTCATATGCGTTTGTACATACGTTTGTACTGTTTTCTCCTACAGACATAGACGAGTGCAGTGTAGGGACGGACAACTGCGAGCAGATCTGCATCAACAATCCCGGAAGCTTTACATGTTCGTGCAACGTGGGGTACAAGCTGTCAAGCAACGGATGGGATTGTATTGGTATACTTACATGTAGCTTTACCTTCCCTTATGTTAGAAACGTTGTGTCTAAAACCTGATTCAAACAATTTAAGTCGGTACACTTTACAAAGTATTAGTGGGTCATACGAAGTTCCGCCCCGCAACTATGGTGTATGGGCCGGTGCATATATCCGTTTCTGTAGCCCTTGGGCCACACAGTTGTACAATCACTACATACAATGTGTGCCATTTGTAAAGTTTTTGGTATGACTCGGCCGGGGATTGAACTCAAGACCTCCAAAATACAAGGCGAAAACTCTACCCACTTCGCCATTGCACCTATTGTGGGTCATGTAAGTCCAACGCAAATACTTTTATTTGTTGATTTCGTACCAGCAGTTTTCTTGTAGTTATGTCACATTGAACTATATCTTTCGTCTTTTCTAGGTATCTTGACGTCTCTCACTATCACGGCAACCCAAGCCGAACATGGAGGAAAATCCCTGACATCTGACGATGCAGAAATTGGCTACTTTACCACAGACCATAACATCAGTCTCGTGGTTTCTCAGGTAATTATCTACTTCAAATTCCCGTCGATATTGTCAACACACTGTTAGATGAGGAAACGGCGTAACGTCCTGATTTATCTTCCTCAACTTTGAATTTTAGGTTACAGGAGACATAGAATCTACCACATGGACTGTAGATGGTGTTATCACGCCGGATGTGTTCACTCTACCGGAAGGAGTGTACAGCATCGCCGGAAGTGCCCGCAACGAACATTCCAATCAAACGAGGCAGCTGTCAATCAAAGTTGTAGAGTGCATCCACGGGGTGCATCTCTTTCACGTGGGAACAGAAGGACAGCTACCGGACACAGTGTCCCCGCCAACCGGCTACGCCGTGTGCCAGTACCCGGCCAGGTTCATCGTCCTCGTCCAACAACTCGGCTCCAACGCCTCGTACATCGTCAATATCTCGGACAGCATCAGCTTCGAGATCCCAACTTTCGTCAATTACAGTCAAGCAGGCAACATGACTTTCTATGAACACCTTGTACCATACAACATGTCGGACTACCAGCTGTACACTTTTACACACACGTATCCTGACAAAGAAATATCTAATGTGACAGTACAGGCAGAGAACGTGGTGTCAGCTGCTGTTTCATCTGTATCTATGACAGCACAGTGTCCTATAACGAGTATCTACGTTCCCGAGGAGGGCTTTGCGACGTATCCAGAACCTGTGGTGTTAGACATCTACTTGCTGGACAGTCAGTTGCCAACGGATTTGTACTATCACGTGTCTTATGGTGATGGCTTCAGTGGTGAGTATTGCCACGGATTTCATATTTTCATGGTTCTCCATGTGTTGCTTCACATTGTTCAACAACATACCACTGTGACAGTACAAAGTAAATCGAGCAAATTAATTCAGATGTTTTATGTAATGTTCTACATGGATGTCTTACATTTATCGATCTACTCTCCAACAATGGCTTCCCTACTGTCCACTGATTGAGATAGTTTTTCTTAATTTGTTTCACGATATAAAGACACGGCGGTGTACATCGGGGATGAGTACGGCCCCAGTCATCCCAGGTTTGCCGTGACACACTTATACATCCCCGGGTCCTACGTGTGTTACATCACGGTGTACAATGTGGTACGTGATATTCATTAGTCACAATCATACAACAATGGGTTTTAAGCATTTATGATTACTTAGTTATAAAGTCAACAGTCTTATTACGATTGGGTGATTATGAGAATGCAGTGGAAAATGAAACACATTATTAGTCAGTGTACTCACTGTGAGACCGACAGCAACAGATTATTTCAAACAGTTTCCACAATTCTACCATCCTTTTACGATCTAGAAGATCACACAACTACTATCGTTATCACAAAACCCAATCGTTATGCAAAATGAATAAATTGACATTGAAATTGTAGAATGTGGGGCTATTAATGATCAACTGCCTTCAAAGAAGTCAGTAGCTGTATGTTTAAATATTGCTTTACTGCGCCGCTTTACTTTACTTTCTTTGTTTGTTACTGTACAAGCAATTAGCCATTGGGCATGACTTATGGGCAAAGATTACCCATATCAAATGTTTCTTTTTCAGGTTAGCTCGATGGCGGGTACAACATACGTGACGCAGGACTTCCAGTTCTTCCCCATGAATATCACGGCGTACTCCAAGTTTTCCCAGGTAGAAAACGGCCAAGTTCTGTATCAAGGTGAGCAGTGTTCACTCACAGAGAGACAGTACATGTTATGTTTTATCTACACGCAAATGTAAATCTGAGGCAAACAATTGTTAGCGTTACTGGTACCACAAAAAGAATTCGAAGAAGAAGAAAAATAACGTCACCTTACATGGCAACTACCTGAAACGTAACAATCGTCTGCTGTTATGTAAGAATTACCAAATGTTTTTCTTTCACTAACGTATCAAACCTTTACGATCGCTACGACTACCCCGTTTTCTCAAGTGAACAGTTTAAGATATTGGCTGGGCAACAGATAAAAGTTTTGAATACACGGTGTGTCTACCACCTGAGCGCCTTAAATAAATGCACCAGGGTGTCAGCTCCGTTTGGGTTGGAGAACGTGCCAACCTCGCGTGCGATGAAGAAACTCACACTGTGTAAATCTTCATTTTCGATACCCCATGTAACGTTATTTGTTGTTGAATGTCTGAACTTCAGGAGTATATAGAGAAGGACAGGGTCCCTACGGGAGCGTGTTCCCAGGACCGCCCCTCCTCATGCCAGTGGAGTTTGAGTACGAAGTTCCACAGGGGACAAAAGACGACGTGCTGCAATCCTCGTAAGGACCTCATTTCACTGAATATTGACTGTTACAGTTCATCCAATGCAAGTTTATGGCGGCCCAAAATTTTCTGGATAACTAACATTGTCTAATGTTGACATTACATTACATTACATTACATTACATTTACTGCCATTCCGTAGCACATTTTCGTCATCATTTCAAACCTCCAAAAACAAGCTACGTGAGGTGTCTCTTTATTTTCTAGGTACCGGGACCACCCATAAACAGCTTACGATACAAAACAGTTTTCCGTCAGTGACATTGTAATTTTGCCCCATAGATATCAATATGCTACGGGATAGGAATGGCCAGAAAATTGACTTTGAAAAAACAGATTTGCTGCCGTGATCATGAAATTCATTGTATGCCTTTAAAACTTGTTACAAGCTACTTGTAAACAACCATATTGCCATCGTTGCTTTTATTCTTAGGAAACATCATTGTGGGACTTTGCAGATCAAAATTATGAGGATGCGTATGATATATCGATAATGAGTGCTGATGGGCAGATTTCGTAACTGTGTTATATATATTTTCCCAGGTGGTATGTGAACGACGTGTTGATACCGGACACCATGAACCTGTCCTACACGTTTCCTCAGATCGGGTCATTTCTGGTGGATGCCGTAGCCATCAACATGTATTCCTACATGGTGGGTGAATTCCAGGTGCGATGAGCTTTTCATAATTTATCTATCAGTTGACATTTGATGTTGTTTCTAATATGCCTAAAAACAGTGCATCAATTATGCTGAGGTCACATTTCCAAACCGGGGCCCGACCGGGCTGTTTCTATTACACACGCAAATAGTTCCCATCATTAATTTTTCAGCTTTTTGTGCTTTGTTGTCTTTTATATCATACGTATACTTTTCGTTCCATAAGACTGCCCGGCCGGGCCCCGGCTTGGAAATGCGACCTCAGCATAAGACATAGAAAAGATACATGTATTCTAGGAAAAGCAAAACCACTGCTTGCCTTGAAAAGGGAAGAATGGTAAATTAAAGTAGTAAAGCATCCTCTAAAGTAGTAAAGGATCATGTAATAAGACTGTTGACTTTCTGACAAGTATTAAAGCATCGCCTGGCCATTTTGTTGTGTGTGCAGGTGGACATATACGAAACAATAACGGACCTTTTCATCGCCAATAATGGCCCGGTGTATATTGGAGACCCCGTGTATTTCGGCGTGTTCGCTAAAACTCCGGGAACAGCTAGTACTTACGTGTTACAGGTGAGCATTGTAACGACGCCTGCGTTTTTTGCAATTGTGATAAAATTTTGCGGTAAAAATACGTTTTGGTGCGTTGCTGTAGTCAGTGTGGATTAGAATTAGAATTAGATTTTTTAAATCCAGCGATTTGCGTTCTTCTAACCGTTCCAACTTATAAACATGAATTTTACCTTATAAGCAAATGACATAGTTTGATACCTACTATTATGTATAATTGCGTCATATGGACTGTTGTATTTACTGTAGTTCTGTACACCTGGCTGACGTCCACGATTTTTCCCCAGTTATTTGAGGGAGACCCGAGTCCGGTCACCATAGATTCACCGATCAAGAACGACACCCTACTGTCAGAAGTTGAGCAGATTTTCCAAGCGGTTAACGTTCCCTTCAGCTTCTCAGACATGCACATGACGGTTTACTCCTTCCTGTATCCCTCCGCCGGCACATACCACGTCAGGCTCGATGCGAGCAACGCCATTTCTACTGGCTTTGCCGAAACCTCCGCGACTGTTCAGTTAATCCCTTGTTTCAAGCCGGTTGTCAACATCAACGATGGAGGAACTAGCTCACCTGAGCATCCAGCACCTTACAGAAGGGACCAAGACATCGTTTTATTCGTCAACATCCAACTTAACTGTCCAGGCGTCAAACAAAGGACATATGAGTGGAAAGCCTACGAAATGACAGAATTGCAAACAATTCCGCAACCTGCCAACGAAATCCAGCTCGATATTAACATGGCTAACGGGACTAACCAGATCATTTTGCCGAGGCACACCATTGGTTATGGGCGGTACATCCTGTCGTTTCGCCTGACGGAAATAAAGCTGGAGATTCACGAAGGGCACGACACGGAACCGGAGATCACTAACTCAGACTACACGTGGTTCGAGGTGGTGGAGACTCCCCTGGTCACGAGAATATCTGGTGGCTCTTTACTTTCAACAGGTGACATTTTGTTTTCTCTTCATGCATACATACGCACATAATCACTAATGGCTGTTGCATGTGAAGGAAAAAGGTTGATGATGATGAAATGAAGTTTACACGTTGATTTTAGATCGCGATGTACATAGAAAATATTATCAAAAAACATAAAGAGTACAATAACTTTGGCAATTGCTAATTTTAGTCTCACCACAGAAAAATACAAATCAATAACAAAACAACAAATAACAATGGGTGTTCTAAAATACAAAGATAACAGGTAAAAATAGATTTATATACGGAGTTAAACATGTTAGTAATTGTCGGAGTGACGGCAGCTGGACATTAACGGAAGAAGAAGAATGATTTTTTTGTAGGAAGTTTAAACATATAGTTGCGCATACACCGTTTTGTGTTCACATTATAGGTTTGAGTCAAAGTCAAAATTGTGTCTATTGCTTTCCGGACACACGAGGGGTGAACTCCTAAGTAATACGTTAATGCAGGCATCTTCAGATAAGTTATCTGTGCGTTTGGTTCTTTTTCGAAGGGTGGAACTCGACGTTTAACGTGAACGCCTCCAGCTCGTACGACCCTGACGCCCCCGTGTCTGTCGCTACCAGCGGCCTGACCTTCAAATGGCAGTGCCGGCATGAGAACGAGACATTCCCCGATGAGTCCGACGAAGAAACGGCAGGTAACAGCCTGCGGTATTTTGCTAGTTTATCAACGGTTTATTTTTCAATTTTTATCTTGGCACATCATTACAACGTGTTATAATCGCTTCAAAACGCACTGACAGAATTAGAATTAGAATAGCATAATACAACTGGTGTGTTACGCCGAAAGGCGGTTATACTGGCTATACAGATACAGATACAACGCAACGTTACGTTTATATAGGGAATTATTGTGTCACTTTATGATTCATATGACAATGCCAAAAAAGAGAAGTAACTTGCCTCTAAACGTTAGCAATTTGTGGAAGTTCAGGCTTTAGTTTATGCAAATGGTACAAAATTTGCCTTTCAGTCTCTATTATGGAATAATTTCCATTCTGTTTTTATTAAACAACCTCCATTTCTCTGTAGGAGGATGTCTGGGACTTATTGGGATGGTCTGGCCAGTAGAAGACAGCTCTGATCCAGTTCTAGTCATTCCAGCGATGTCATTAGAGGGTACGGTTCTGATTCACACCGGAAGAACATTTACGACATTTATCATTAGTAGAAATAAACTTTATTAGCCTTCTGAGATTGAGTGTGCAGTATTTTGCAAAATTAATTGGTAGTTAGCAGTTGTATTCTAATGTATATTAATAGATGCGTACATAGTATTAAATGTTTAAATGTTGCAATTAAAAATGAAAAAGTTCAATCTATCTGCAGTACATATACCGTAGAAACAATATGCAGATATATTTAAGTCACATTACAAGCCATGTGCTTCATTTGTCGGAGTAAAATTGCAAAACTATGATATTGCTTTGATTTTCAGGAGGAAAAACCTATGTATTCCGAGTCTCTATGACCAAGCCCGGTAGACCTTCGGGAAGTTTTGCAGAGAAGACTATTGTTGTTTTAGAAGGACAGCCGCCCACTCTGGAGGGGATCTGGTAACAATTTCTGTCCTATTTTACTTTTGAATAGGATAGAGTATTTTCTCAACGTAGCCATGCGTAAAGTTTTTCGTAGTAAAAAAAGCCTACAGCTACCCGCAAGACCTGTGAGTTGTGGTTCACAAACACACACACACACACACACACACACACACACACACACACACACACACACACACACACACGCACATGCACATGCACGCGCCCGCACACACACACACACACAAACTTCGCTATGTTATGATATTGAAATGTGTATAACGTGTCATTCAGGTGTTTACAGAACTGTGGTCAGTACTTGAACCCGTCGGAGCGGCTGGTTCTGACCGGCAGATGTATGGACTGTACCCCTGAAACCCGCCCCACGTACCTCTGGAGCCTCCTACCGCAGCCGGAGAACAGTAAACAGGATCTAGACTGGAACAAAGAAACCCTCACGGGCAGGGAAAAGGGGTTTCTGTCTGTACAGGCGGACACGTTCAAGGTCACAGATGTAGCGGAGACATTCACCTTTCGAATCGATGGTGGGTTTTCTACATAATCTAACGGTAGAAATACCAGTAGCAGTAGTGCAGTAGTAGCAGCAGTAGTAGTGGTAGTAGTAGTAGTAGTAGCAGAAGTAGTAGTTGTAGTAGTAGTGGCAGCAGCAGCAGCATTATAGTAGAAGTAGTAGTAGTAATAGTAGTAGTAGTAGCAGTAGTTGTAGTAGTAGCAGTAGTAGTTGTAGTAGCAGTAATAGTAGTGGTAGTAGTAGTAGTAGTAGTAGTAGAAGTAGCAGTTGTTGTAGTTAGTAGTAGTTAGTAGTAGTAGTAATAGTAGTAGTGGTAGTAGCAGTTATTGCTGTTGTTGTAGTAGTAGCAGCAGTTGTAGTAGAGTAGCAACAGCAGCAGCAGCAGTAGTAGTAGTAGGCATCATTCCATCTCTTCCTTGACATTTCAACTGTATGAAACTCACAGTTTTCTCGTCCTAGTTTTCAGCTGGAGTGGGACGTCTGCCTTCGCCCTGTACAGCTTCACCACCAACGCCCCTCCGATCCTGGGAACGTGCGCGGTCCTTCCGGATACTGGGACCGTGATGGAGACGTTGTTCCAAGTCAAATGTTCCGGATTCATGGACGACAACGTGCCTTTGACGTACCGTTTCTTTGCCTTCATTGGGGAAGAGACATCTGGAACCGGAGAAACGTCACAGGGTAAGAGAAGAGGTGTTTCTTCCACTAAACGAGACTTTATTTTGTGAGCATGTTTGTAGATGTACACATACAAAACTGTAGTAAAAGTAAGCTTAAGTTTTCCATTTACCAAAAAAAGAGGAGGTTTCGCGTACATTCTATTTTTTTGTGGAATAAAATTATTCTACTCCATCCTCTGACAGGCAGTATGATATATTACGGGATGGACAGCGAGTCTCCGCCCATATACCTGCCACTCGGCGACAAGAACAAAAACTATCTGGTCACGATCGTCATCACTGTTTCTGACACGGAAGGAGCAAGCTCAAGGACAACCACAACTGTCCAGGTCAGCATAGCCTATAGGTCATCTACCTTACGGTGCGGTAACATCTGTTGTAGCTCGTTGTACGATTTTATTGCCTTAGAAATCAAGCTGGTCGTGTCAGGACCAACCCTCGCTAAGGATCGAAGTCGACGTATTTTTCATGACAAGACAGCTGAATTTTGCGGGACAAATGCACGACTGTAACTGTTTCAAGAATGTTTTCGAATAATTGTACGACGATCATACGATGTTTGGACAACACTGTGACTGGCACACGATTAGGTTAGCTTACATTTCTGAATGCAAAGAAAGAAGTTTATTGCTGTCAGTATATCTCCACAAATGCTGAGGCATACTGACGCACTTGTACTGATATCATGTTTGCGATGTCTCTAAACTACACTTATTCTGTCAGCAAAATTTGCCACTCAAATTGGAGCAAATAGCGTTTCAGAGGGTAAAGATTTCCAAATTTCTTTGGTGCACGACATAATTTTACGGCAAACAAACTCGAGATGATGAAAGAGCATATCAGAATGGCTAGACCACCGATGCAAAGCATGTGGTCTGTGACTGTGTAGGTTAACGAGCCGGAGGAGATGGAGGACACGGCGACCCTGCTGGCGCACACGGACTCTGAGCTGAGCGGTCTGCTGGAGGCGGGAGACACCAGCGCCGCGGTGGAGATCGTCAACATGGTCACCTCCGTCATCAACACCAGGGAGGACGGGGGGCAGCAGGAGGAGGAGAAGAAACAGGTGAAACAGGAAATATCAGACTTATTTTGGGTTTTCGTGACCTTCCCGTTCACACACCTCGTTTGTATGATGTAATTTAATCAGGTTAATACCGTCACTTCCCATACCACCTGGTGTGTGCTCGACTATCAGGGGTCATCCCAAGTCAATCAAATGTCAAAATCACCTCCCACCCACCATGCAATGGAAGATATTTTGACAGACAGATATACAAACAAACCATAAATTCAGCCACCTAAAATAATATTTTGTACCCGGAAGTAATAAAATCATATATTAGAGTTAGACGTCTGGCTATCTATAAATTTAAGATTGACAATATACGCAATTGTGTCCTATGTTTTTTTCTGATCGTAAAAGCCATACATGTATGTCGTACCATCTTTCAGCTCCGTGGGGTCCTGGTAGATAGTTTGCAGAAGATCCCGATCCAGACGCTGGACAACCTGCGGCAAACGTCAGCCGCCATGGCTCAAGCTACGGAGAAGGATGAAGAACTGTCAGAGGATGCCCAAGTATGTAAATAGAATTACAACATCAATGAATTTATCATGATATTAAATGACCCCAATACAGCCAGTAACCTGAAACAGGACATGAAAAAAAATTGTTAATTTTCGCGCGCGCGCCAAAAGTTAAACGCTACTTGACTCTACGGTGTTTGATGATGACTGAGAACATACTTTCAACGTTATAACTCAACACGCAGTAGAAGGGTTTTTAGCATGTATTGGTGTCTAAGGTTTTTGTACTGACTTTCAGGTTTCTGCTGCTTCTAAGATAGAGGAAATGGCGTCGTTTCTACAAACGAAGACACAGGAGGGCACGACAGGCGGGGCGGAGGTACAGTCTGCTGCCGAGGTCCTGGTCGCAGGGGTGGCAAACATCGTCAAGGCCGCCGCTAAGAAGGCACCGAAGGAGGCTGCAGAAACGGATGACCAAGTATATTTTCCAATTGCCATTTGATTCTCTGTCAGGCTAAGGATGTCAAATCTGAGACACTCTAATACACTCTTAATGAGGGAAACAAAACTTTAGAAACATGTTTTTACAAACTAATATCAACATCTATCTAAAGAAAAGTTTAAATTTTCATATTTACACAGAGTAAAATTAGTGTCTTTATAGCCTAATAAAGGTCCCTTAGTATAATACTACATAAATTTCATATTGTCATAATTCTTTAGTCATCATTCATTCATTCATTTCTTCCATGGCAGTCGTTGCATGTACGATTGCAGGCGTAGCTAACAAATTAAAGCTTTGGTGTATTTAATTTCAATTGTTGGTATTCCGTCTATTCTCAATCAGACACGTATGAATGTCTTCTGTAGACGCTTCATGTCATCTTTGATATTTCAGCCCAGTGTATCTGCGTCCTCTTCCACGGTGATGAAGCAGTCTCTGAAGGCCATAGCTGAGGTCCAGGAGGCTATCCTCAGTACCAAGGCTCCTGGTGAGGAACCCACGGTCCTGGCCACCCCCAGCCTCGCTGTCATGGTGCTGCGCGAGGAACGCTGGGATTTCCAGGGAGGCGTCCAGCTGCAGGAGAGTCATGGCAGCTGGTTCTCACTGCCGACTGGAGACAAGCTGTTTGACGATGACAGCGTGCGATTTGATCAAGTTATCGACATGCACGTACGTATTTTCATCTTTAATTACCAGGACCGTCTCTGTGCAAAGAATTGCTATACTACAGCTATTGTGATGTATCATCGTCACCATCTTCTTTGACGCATTTGCAGCGCTTGGCACCACGGCGGGCCATCAATGCCATCCACATTCTTTAATCTCTCAGTTGTACATTGTGCCCCCTCCATTTCGCAAAGCATCTCTGCAAGGTCCCGCTCGACCGTCCTTTTCCAAGTCATTACTTGGCCTCTCCTCTTTTTCCCCTACTGGACACCAGTTCAACGCCATGCTGGGAAACTATAGCCTCTACATTCTTACTATGTGTCCCAATTAAGTTCTGTGTGAATGCGTGCACTGAATGCGTGACCAAAAAAGCTTTATGTACCACAGTCTATGAAGTCATCATATTTGCCTTGTAAAGCTCTTCTATATTCAGCATTCTGGAGCAACATTGAAATTTGACTCCGTACTATTCTTCTTTCACAGATGAACCATTTCGACAATAACCCTTTCCAATGGGCTGCCAACGTTAGCCTGGAACAGAAGGTCGCTTCCCTGGACTTCAGTACCCTCGGTGACCACATCCCCTCGCGGAAACTCCCGGAGAAGGTGGACATCGCCATCCCACGGGACACCAGCAGGGATTCCTGGAACACCATTGAGTTACCAAACGACGTCTTTGGGATTAAAGCGTTTATCAACTTTAATATCTCTGAATCTTATGTAAGCCTTTTTTATTAGCTTGGTATTCATGCTATTGTTAGGCCTTGCATGCAACGTGTCATGATAAGTTACTAGTATGATTTTTTGTTTTCCCTTCATGTCACTGTTTTTGCATCACTTATAAGTTGTTTATCAATTAGTAATTCATGTATAGACCTACTATACAGAAAAACACTGTTATCTGTGTCCCAAAGATGTACAATAGTAACTTATAGAAAAAAAGTTCACAAATTTACATGTGACTGATGTTGTGGATTACGCACACACACAACTCACCGTCTGCATATTAACGTATACCCACTAGGAACGCCACGTGGTAAACGTGCTGGTAAGGCCATCTATCCCGGATGCCCAGGTCACCATATACCTCCGAGAGGACGCAAGTCCAACCTACGCCAACTACACAGCCGTGGGAAGCCTGCCGTATGTGGGTGACTATGCGGTGGAGGTCGGTACAGACGGGAACATCACGGCTAATCCCTACCTGTGGCAGATCGGCGTGCTGAACTCCACGTCTACATACTATCTGGGTATCACCTATAATGAATCAGGTACGGATAATTATTATGTTAATAAGTTATTTATGAGCTATATATACATGTAATGCTGGAAATTAGCTTAAAGTTCATATTCACGTTGTACAAACGAAACCATTGAATGCACACGGTATGGCGTGATCTATTTAAAGAATATATATCTTACATAGAGAATATGCCGCGTGCAAAATGACATTTACTTATTTTTGATACTAAACTCAATTTACTACCATTAATGGCATCATCACAATGTTTACATATCTTACATCATTACATCACTTTAAGATACATTGCTTGTCATTATCTCAACCGTCTAGGTGTTGATATTGGTATTGTTAATCCTTAAAAATCACTAATCGCCGTAATCAATAATCATATACACATATGACAGCTGTAGATGGAGAGAATCTGGTGCTGGAGCTGTTACTGTTCTCCACCACTTGTCTCTACTTCAACCAGACGTCCTCAGCGTGGGAAGACGAGGGGTGCCAGGTAGATGCCAGGATCTGCTAGTCCTGAACACATATCAACATGTTCAACATTTAGACGATTAGCATTTGTTTTGTTTGTTTGTTTATTGTTTTGCACTTACAAATAAAACAAAATGTAACAATTTAGAAATAAATAGACATACATAGGAGGGCCGAAAAACTGGTGGTTTATCTTTGGCCCTCCCAAATACTACAAGAGTAAATTTTTTACTTTGCATGTATTATGATGATCTATTATAAAAATGGTGCATTGGAAACATGCTCCCTTGAACTCTTAAAAAGCTGCTACCGTTGAAGAGTGAAGTTTGTACGTTTTCGATGTTAAAAGAACGTTGTAAAGACTGTCGTATTTCGTTACATCTACGACTATCATAAATAACTTTAATTCCCACATCTTGCTCAGGTTGGCCCGTTGACTACGCCTAATCTCACACACTGCATCTGCGACCACCTGACTCCGTTCGGATCCCAGTTCTTCTTCCCGCCCAACAAGATCGACATCTTAGCGTCTCTGATGAAGTTCAAGAACATCGCGGACAATCCGGTCGTCACCATCGTCGTATCAGTCATCCTCGCACTGTACTTAATGGCAGTGGTCTGGGCACGAAGAAAAGACAAGGAAGACGAGACTAAAGTAAAGCTATCATGTTCTTAAGTTGGTAGCTTCTTGAGCTCAGAATCTTGTAGGAGATGGGCAGCTGTTTGAACAGTTTCAGCATGTATGTTGTGGATAATTTCCTGTAAGGGCCTGGTTACATGTGTCGTACGATCTCAAACAGAATGCTTTCTAGGTTACTTTAGATGTGCAGGTATCCTACAAAATTCAGCAGATTGTCTTAGATCCTTTTTGACGGTTGATTTTGTCACAGCCTGCTTGAAAATCCAACTACTTTAAAATCGTATGATGACCTTCGACGAACATGACCAGGCCGTAAGCTCTAAAATTTATGATGTCTTTTCATCTTCCCCAATATAGCCTTTTTTGTTGTGCTTATTTACATGTTTTTGACTACATGCAACTAAACAACAAACAAGCAAACAAAATCCATATAGTATAGTTTTCTAAACACTGGAGCTATTTTTCAAAGGTTGAGACTATGGCCTTACATGACCTTGACCCGATGGACATGTATCGATATGACGTCACCATCATCACCGGATTCAGAAGGAATGCCGGGACGACAGCCAGTGTCAGCCTCCGTCTAATAGGAGAGGAAGGTATGATTGCTGCAGCTTCTATTTCCAAGTGGTTTAAACTGGCTACCTCACACAGACTGCATATCACCGTAGACAGCTTATCTAACTGTTAACTATTGCATTGTCTCTTGTCAGTTACTTCAATGCAAGCGACTCCGATTGTGCCAACCTTACAAGGCCTTACGTTCATAGTATGTATAATAAAGCTTTGGCACACAGTTTGTACGTTTGTATAAATTTGCTTGTACAGACTGTGTGTTATGGACTTTGTAGGACTACCATCATGTAATCTGTATCTTATATTTTGTCTGATCCTGACCTCGTCCCTCATGGCTCGAATGAAAAGCAGGCAGATTTGAGTATATCTTGAACTTCCCAAAACCCACTAATTTTAGAAAAGGTGGGACATTACGTCTTCCATAGTCTAAAGAAGAGAAGTCAAACCCCTTAGACATAGTTTTAGACATAGCTGTAGCTCTAGATAACTCCTTTTATCATGTAGATTTCAGTTATTTTATACTACGTTTCATTGTTCTTTTATGTTTGTAATCTGCAATTAGCCCCCCGGGCATGAATTTGCAATAAACTTCTATCTAATAAATTTAGGCTCAAACAAACAAATAAAAACAAAGTCTGGCGGTTTATATACCTCGACTATGAATTTGGTACGCGGGATTTCAAGGCCATAGACACGTATTCTTTTCTGTACAGTTCATTAGTTTGTTTCTTTTGCCATACATTGTACCATGTACAATTGTCGTGCAATAGAGTTCTCTTGCTCTTATCGATCAATCTGTTGTCATTTCACGCTAGGCGAGAGTGAGACCCACATGGTGTCGGACCCCGTGAGCGACAGGAAGGTGTTACAGCGCGGCGCCATCGACTCTTTCCTGGTCACCACCCGGGACTCTCTGGGCGACCTGAGGGAGATCATGGTCTGGCACAACAACGGTGGCAGTAACCCGTCCTGGTGGGTTTCCTACGTGACAATGTGTCTCATTTCATAAGAAGCCTTACAGATATCTTCTAAATGCCAAAATCCATGGATACTAGTAAGTCCAATGAATAAATAAATACTAGTAAACCAGTCTATAGTAAAAACGGAACAATGTGTCTCATTTCATTATAAGCTTTACAGATATCTTCTAATTTTCAAAACCCAATAAATGAATACTAGTAAATCTGTTACACATAGCAGTTTTTGATGTCAAATGTGACCCATATTTAGCTTAAATTCGATCCAATTCGTATAGAAAGGGTTAGGTGGACGTGGCCTAAGTCTGGTATAAACTGTTCCCGAACCTTGTTAGCTGACCTGGGTTGGTTGGTGTTCGGGGGAAGGTCTTGAATGTATGACAGTGACTTTGAATTGTTCATTTAATATCTGTGCTAAAATATCATTTTCATATTTTACTCTTGTCGCCCAACACGTAGGATAGCATCCGAGTTGTAAATGTCAAAACTAATGTTAATAATCTGTAATGGAATTAGGCATTACATATGTTTGACCTTTTACCCTATTCAACAGGTTTCTAAGCCGCATAATGGTGCAGGATCTGCAGACCAAACAGAGATGGTACTTCATCTGTAACAGTTGGCTAGCTGTGGACATGGGGGACCAAGAGGTACGGATACAGAATCTGGCACACGTATTCACATAGGCGCGATCCACATAAACGTTAAATTGGTTCATCTTCAAAATTACAAATTCGTCCACATTTTCTTTATCCAGAGGAAACAACAATACAAGAAAGGAAAAAAACTAAGTGACAGTGAACTCGAGTTCTGTACATTCGAATAATATTGTCGCCACGACTCAATAAACGTATGGTTTATTTCCTCAAAACAATAACTTAGTAGACAACGAAACGTTTGGTTGATAAGTAAATAGACGCATAATGAAGAATCAGCCATCATCATCGTCAAATAGACGTATATCAGGTACCTATCGCAATATGAATCCAAATGCCCCCCCCCCAGAAAGAAATAAAAAAGGACACATATAACCGAAAACTTTGTTGATATAATATAAGTTTGTGTGGTAGAATAATTTAACAATCAATATCAGGAGAACAAAACTAACTACCACGTAGAATTGTTAAACGTTGTAAGGAACAACATCGATGTGTTAATGATGTGGTTACTGTGTTGTACATGTTGCCAGGTTGAAAAGCACATCAGTGTGGCTACTGAAGAGGAGCTCCACCAGGCGTCCACCCTGTTCGCCACCAAGGCTGTGTTCGCGCTACAGGACGATCACCTCTGGTTCTCCATACTTGCCCGGCCTGCACGAAGCAGGTAGTTATTATTTTCTGTACGACGATCTCGGTGATTGATGATTCGATAAGGTTCTTTGGTAGATGGGGATGATAGAATCTAAAATGATATTTTACGTTGAAAGCGATGAAGATGTACTTAGCTTACAGTATGTCATAAATCCGTCACAACCAGTGGGAATACGAGAAAGAAAGGTGGAATTACAATTTCAGAGACTATTTGTTATGTAGGGTTCTTGATGCTTCGATAAGGTTCTTTGTGATAAATTTCTGGGGATACTGAAATCTAAAATGATATTTTGCCTTGAAAAAGATATTCTTGTTCTAAGCTGACGGCATGACATAAAATCCGTTGTAATCAGTGGAAAATAATGAATTTCCACCATATCTCCCCCCCCCCCAGGTTCACCAGAGTACAGCGCCTGACCTGCTGCGTCTCCGTGCTGCTGTGTCAGATGCTAACTAACATCATTTTCTACGGCACGTCTGACGAGTCCTCAGGAGCGGACATGAGTGTTGGTGTCTTCCGTATAACGTGGAAAGAACTAGTGATCGGCGTAGAGTCGGCTCTCATCGCCTTCCCCATCAATTTCGTCATTGTGGCCCTCTTCAAGTACTCAGCAGATAAGCCTGAAGTGGAGAAAAAGGAGCGGAAACGGTGTAGTTGGGCGTGGAAATGTTGTTGCAAGGGTGCTAATAGCGAGAAGCGTCGCCCTAGTACAAAAACTGTGCCAAAATACTGCGCGAAAGAGACGTCGGATTATGCCGAAAACGCTGCAGCTGTTGGCCAGGAAGATGTGATCGACGCGCCGGGTGGAGATGCGGCTGTTGACGGCAATGCCAGAAGGACTCGACGTAAGAAGAAGAGCATGAAAACAAGGATCAGAAGTTGCTGCTGCTGGTTCTCTCCCAGGTTGGTATGGGTAAACCAGCCACCATATCTATAGAACAAGCCTATACAGATAGATTCTCGCAATCAATATGTCCCCAAGTTGTCTTAAAGCTTGTTTACATTAATTTTTCTATTTACATTACATTACAATATGTCATGGCCACTTTGTAATTATGTACATGTATGTATTTTGTCATTTGTGTTTTACACGTGTTTTATATCTATGTTCTCGAGTAGAAGTTACATTTTATATTCATGTTAGCAAAATCGATTTCACAATGTTTTGGCTTCTATCAGTTTTAAGTCTTTCTTTATTAAAAAAAATTAACGTCGCAAGTAATTTGTTCTGTAAAGCTCCTAGCCAATCAATGTGTCCTACTGATCTGCCTAAAATAGTAATCCAAATGAAAACGCGAGTAACTTTGTGATATTTCCTTTCCGTATCCCCACTGCTTATAACGGATTTTAAGAATTCATCGCAAAGAACTGTATCGAATCATCCATCCATACATACTCAAGCTGACTGTTAATTGTTCTTACACAAAGTGAGTCTGACACTGAACTGACCGAGGACGAGAAGGCGAAGTTATTCATCAAAGGCAGGGGCACGAAGGAGTTACCGTGGTGGTGTGTGTACGTGGCCTGGCTCCTAGCGGTCCTCGCCTGTCTTACAGCAGCGTTCTTCACACTTCTGTATGGAATGGCGTATGGAAGGCAGAAGTCTATCGACTGGCTAGTGTCAATGATCATTGGATTTATACAGGTAAGTACGACTTACTGTCTTGTATTTTTCCAAGACTAAAACATCCAGACAGATCACCCAACAAAGGCAGTGTCAACGATATACTCTTACTGGTATGCCTTATTACCTTACTGTACTAATATATAAACAAAAAACACAGATAACAAACGACGAAGGTATACATTTTTTTACCACTATAGCCTGTCTTGTTTCTTCTCAGGGAGTGTTCGTTCTGCAACCTATGAAGATGCTGGTCATTGCTGCTATCGTTGCTGTGATTATCAAGAAGTTGGATGAGGAAAACTGGGAACCGATCGTGCCTGAGGAACATCTTGTCGGTGAGTTTTGTTAGCTTTGTTATAATTTTACGTATTGAAGGATAATTCTTACTTTTAGTTGATCTTTGTTCTCATGATCATATCTTGTATTATCGTTGCATATTTTGTAGGGGTTCTCCCCCCTCCCCACCAAGGCGTCATTGAAAAATCCAAAATAGGTGACATGTATTTCCTGGTGAAGTAGATAAATTAAAGAACACGGAACTAGTACGACAACAATAACATCGAGTCCTCTAGAACAAAGCAAACACATATGTGCACCTCCGTGTCTCTTCATAAACACTCTAGACTTATATTTGTTTCTTCTCTGTCTCATGATTCACCAGAAAGCGGGTCTTGGACTTCCGTGGACATCCAACAATTTCGAAAGGACCTACAGAAGAGACGAGAGGACCCCGTTTACAAACCCCCGCCTCCTAAAGACTTGGCGAAAGTCAGAGCAGCAAGGAAGAAGAACGACGCCATGTTCTTCATAGTTTACGAGACTGCGTCCTTCATGCTCTTTGCGTTTCTTATACTGACCATCGCACACACCATGGTGGAGCCCAACGCCTTCCAACTGGGAAACAACGTCCAGGAGACTTTCTTGGGTGGCGTTGAAGAGGTGATGTTCTAACTTGCCGCTTTTCTGTGACACGCGTTGAATATTTGTGTGTACAATCCAAAACTTATTCGGCGTTTAAATAGCCAATAACGCACTAGATTGGGAGATGTTTACACGTCGGTTAAACGGCGAAGTATTTAATACCAGCTCAGAAAAGTGGGGGCATCATCACTATCACTATCACTATCACTATCACTATCATAGCCACCTGCCCCCACGCCATGCCGCGCGCGTGCCTGTGAAGTTGGTGTGCTAAATCAATTGCAAAGGGCGGTTATAACAGTTATACAAATACAGGCATAGGTCTCATGAACAGGTATCTTAAATGTCGTGTTTATGTCCAGAAAGATTCTAAATGTGCCTTATATTTCAACAGATTCAAGATCGCTACGACGTGTACTTGTGGTTGGAAGAAGAGGTCTTCATGAACCTGTACGACTTCTCCAGTCCGTTTACAGCCGATGGGCACTCTGTTGTGGTCGGGTCGGTCAGGATGCGGCAAGTGCGCGTGTCGACAGGTGAGTCGATAACAACCTTGTAATGTAATAACAAACATCACTGATTATTCGCTAAAGTGTTCAAGTTGGCGTCACTCAGTTAACAAGCAAGGTCGCCTAATTAAAAAATGCTAGAGAATCAAGCGTATTTTGCGGCCGAAAATGTACCCTTTTATCAACTTGAACGGGGCTCGTACGATGATCTAGAGACCTATTGCCTATTGTGTGTGTGTGTGTGTGTGTGTGTGTGTGTGTGTGTGTGTGTGTGTGTGTGTGTGATGGTATTAAAAATGCTGGTGGGACTACTTAGTCAACTCAATATTAATGTGACCAAAGACTTCTTAGCTAACTTCTATACATGTTTTTGTTCTATGCAGAAAAATGCACGGCACAGAATAAGGGCATGGTGGGCACGAGACTGCTATCTCTCTACTTCGACTTCTGCAGCGAAGATTACACCAGTGATAACGCTGTAACGGAACATTTCCTGCCCGGCTGGGTGAGCGCACCGAAGACAGCGAACTTCACCCCGAACGCCTCCAGCCCATGGGTGTACCAGCACGCAGACAACATTTGGTCGTCTTCGGGGTACGGTACAGGAGGGTACGTGGCGGATTTTCATGTCAAAACAGCAAACGCATACTTCAAACTATACGACCTCGAGGCGCTGACATGGATCGACCGACTGACCAGAGCCGTGATTGTTGACTTTACGGTCTACAACGCGAACGTGGACTTGTTTTGTCTAGTCTCAGTACTCGTCGAGACGCCGGCGACTGGGAACGCCCACGCGGCGTCGACTGTCCGGATGATACGGCTCTACCAGTACAGGCACGCTATAGACACGGTGCTACTGATATTTCAGATAGCGTACACTCTTATGACCATCTACGATATCTACTCTGCCGTGCGAAGAATTTTTGCTCAAAGATGGACGTTCTTCAAGAACATATGGAATCTTCTAGACTTCTTGATTATTCTCCTGTCTTTAGCTGCATTCGCAGCCTTTGCAGCCCGCATGATACTCACCAGTCAAGCTCTTGCAAGTTTTAGGAAAAACAAAACTGCATTCCTTAACCTTGTGCCTGTGATTGTTGCAGACGAGGCGTTGGTGGCCGTTGTTGCCATCATCGCTTTCATAGGATGTATGCGGTGTTGCAGGCTGCTTCGTGGCAACAACAGTCTGTACCTCATCGAAGCAACCTTCAAACGGTCCATCGGGCCATTGCTGTCACACGGCCTCATCATAGTCATCATGATGGTCGGTTACGCCATGTTGGGACACCTTGCCTTCGGCCGCCAGGTCCAGTCGTATTCATCCTTAACCCGAGCTCTCGTCACAGTTCTGAACTTTGCCATTGGGGCTTATGAAATGGACGACTATCTCGCATCACCGGCACTTGGTTTACTCTTCTTCATCAGCTTCATCTTTTCCATGGGATTCATTCTCCTAAACTTCTTCGCCGCCATCATGATGGACATTTTCGCGGTGGAGAAGGAAGAGTTTGTGGTGCCAGAGGAGGGGGAAATCGTGACGTACACGGTCGAACGCGTGAAGTCTCTTTTGGCGTTCAAAAAACGCCGTCCTGACGATGAAGATGGTAAATATCTTCCAGACAGCCTCCTAATCTCTCCGTATCTCCGGAGAAGGCAGCGCGGTGGGCAGCTGAGCGTGGACATGAGTGAATCTTCATTTGAAGGCCCAACGTCAGCCTCCACCGAAAGCCTTGGTTTCGAGCCACAGCTCGAGTGGCCCCCGAGAAGCGTTCGTTTCAGTAACGTGAAGATAGTGCACATGGCGGACGACAGTGATTTACGAGAACGACAAAGAAATGTATGACCTTATGATATTAGTTACATGTAAGGTAATTAAAATACGTATATTTGATTGTCAGTGTTTCAAGTTAATGTCTGTTATCCGTTTCTGAGCGATGCTGATTCCTGAGGTGAAGTGAGGCTAAGACTAAAATGTAGACGACATTGAACTTTTCAACGAACTTTCCTTTTGATGAAGGATTTTGTTCGATAGATAAGTTAACATATTTTTAAAACTGATACAAGAATATACTGCGTAGTTGTGCACACGTACTCTCGTTATGCGTATTGCTAAATAATGAACCAATAATATGATAAGCTAACTGGTTACTAATATGTTAACGATATTAACTCATTTGGAGTTAAAAGATGGAACTATCGTCATGTATGCAAAGTTCATATGACTTTCATTTACGGATAACATATTTGTTATCTGTTTTAGTAGCTGAAACGTTAGCTGCTTCTGTAAAGAGAGTTTCAGGTATTGAAATGTCTACTTTCCTCTTTGAACACAGCTATGAGGAAACTAGGTGTAAATAGCTATAAGATAATAAGCGTAAATTGATACCCATTTTTAATTTGAAACCGCACACATTCTAGAAGAGAGACAGAGACCAGAAGCGCGTGAGAACATTCAATTTGATTGTTTCATTTCAGTTTAATTTTGATTGTTGAACGTAACGGTGTGGTGCAGTCGCCCTTAAGCGCAGGTGCCCTCGAACACCACGACGTCATCAATGGCGATGTCGCCACGCCAGCTTGAACCGCGGGTGCCCTCGAAAACAAGCTGTGAAGACAAGAGACAGAGGGTTGGACATATAGCCTGGGTACCATCGAGGTTATTTTACGACGGCTCCCACAGTCGCTATCAAGCTGTCGGTAACCAACGTAAACTAACCAGAATGTTTGGAAATATCAAAAAAATTCTGTTTTACGGAATGTAGTCTTGCAACTGTAATCTTGGTCAACTCTTGTTATTTGCGTCCAGAAGGTAATCAACTGATACTATTCAAACGAGAACTTATAACTTATTTGCATAATCAATGAAATATCTATCATGTGTCAATTGTAATGGTTGATGTCATTGTTCGAAGGTATACACTTGCGAAACATCAATTATATCGTTTATTCGGTATCGTCACATCTGGTTTACCTAGCCTCCTTTTCAGGCGTTCCGGGATCGGTCGTTTCTTTTTTTAAGGGGGGGGGGTCTCTCTGACCAAACGTAGATCGCACGCAATAGAAGGTCCCGGAACGCCTAAAAAGAAGGCTATGGTTTACCTGGAAGTCGGCGTCCCCGGGGATGGTAAGCTGTCCAGGCAGCCACATGTTTCCTTGGTCCCCGCTCACGCTGAACTCAGGCGTGCCCAGGACGGAGTTCCCGTCAGTCACGTATACATTCAGCGTGTTGATGTCTGAAGGAACAGATGTTGGACAAGGGAACAGTTACTACCACATGTCACACGATTATAGCATCTACCAATAGGCTTCAGGAAGCGGCTGGAAGAGTAGAAATATTGGCCAAATAATCAGATGATATGCAGGGGAGTTGGCCCGCGCTAAGAGAGCAGATTGCCGCTTCCTCTTAGCATTGTCCAACTCGTATATCATCTGTACAATTTGGCCAATATCTTCTCTTTCTAGCGCCTCTCCGATGCCTGGTAGAGACTAGCTCAATTACAAGAGATTCAATTTAGAACGATTTGCCATGATTTTACAAAGGGCGGGAATAACAGGAACATACCTGCTACGGATAACAGACGTCTGTTTCATAGGCGTTTATGAGTACATACATGTAACATTGCCGGGTGATAAAACGGAGAAAAGTAATCTCCAAGCAGATATTTTGTAGCCTTGAGTCCAGCCTTGTTGGCTTTGGTCTAATCCCCAAGATCAAGTAGTGGATCTTGGGGAGGGGACCTAAGCTAACAAGGCTGGACCCCAGGCTAGATCTTTTGGTGGTCGCAAAGACAGTATCAATTTGGTCAGGTTTATTGACAATATCCAATACCGCTACACATTATTGCATTGGATACTGTCTGGCGTATAGCTTGGCCAATTTGATACTGTCTTTGCAACCACAAAAAGATCTATTCGGAGATTAGTGAATATTAAATCGCCTCACCTACTCCGTACATGTGGTACTGGAAGAACAGGCAGTAACCGACGGTGTTGGCGCTCAGAGTTGGTGTGCGCAGGCGCGCGGCGTCGCCCAGGGAAACTGATCCGGACGCCTCGATGAACATGTAGTAGCCTTGAGTTGGAATGGAACAGAAAAAAATATTAGGTACTGCAACACAATTTATTTCAAAACACATATGTAGAATCACATTTCTTTATTCAGACTTTCAAATATTGTCCTACATGAAAATCCTTGAAACGGCAGTAAGGGCAATGAGGATGGCGACTTTAGTTGGTATTGCATGCGGCAGAACTTCCGTTTTTTTGTACCTTTTGTCCTGGACATGCTATCGTCTTTATTATTTTTTTGTGGTAAGTTTTTATGCAAAAAAGTACTCAAGATTTGAGCCCCGTAGCAGATTGTTCTGGAACTGCAGGGGCTTTTTTGTTAGAATGAATTAGGCTGCAGTACTGACCCGACCCGTGGGCGTCGCTGGGAGGTCCGGTGGAGCTGGAAGTGGTCCTGCCGTAGTTACGGGTCCAGTCAAACTGGTCATCGCCGTCCTGGGTAAAGCCGCACAGGTCCGCGTCAAAGCTACAGATGAAGGCGGTCGGGACTGACCAGACAGTAGAATGAGGTAGATTTAAAAAAATACAAATATCCGTATATGAACAGATCGCACAACATTAGAGGGAAATCTTCGAAGATTTCAGACGTTACTTAATCTAAAAACATGTCTAAAAAGCAACAAGTCGATGCTATTTTCTTAATGACTGTGTAAAATGAAGTTTTTCGAAAAAATCATAACGTAATTAATTGAGGGCAATTTGAATAAAAAGGTGTAAGGAAACCCAAATCTATGCTTCTGCATGATATAATATAATGATCGTGGTATGGTGACATGTCACCCCCCGGTACCCACCGGTTGTGTACTGGATAACGAAGCCCTGCCCGTTGACCGCGGGGTCGGTAGCAAACTCGATCATCAGGCGGTCCCCGGAGGACGTGATGGGGCTCGGCGTGGTCGAGCCGCACAGGGTGGCGACCAGAGGGGACGATGTGTCCCCGCCGTCGTAAACCTAAAGAACAACAACAAAAACACCTTTTACTTCTTGTTGTTAACGGAGTAGGATAGACTGGCTGGTACCACCAAAATACAACAGCATAGCATTGCCGTTAAAGCTCTACTAGGCAGCCAAAACAAGCCTTTTTTCAACAAAATAGAGAGATAAAACTCTACATTTTGAAAATGCAAGCATATATCCACACAGGCCAAGAAAAAGGCTGTTTACAGTTGGTTTGAATGCTCTCGCCAATGCCCGGGCCTTTTGGGCCTGCACGAAATAGTGACCTTTACCCTGCTTGCCTTCAAAGCCTTGCGTTGGTTCAATTTTTTTTTAAATTGCACAATGTGTGAATAAAGCCTATCAATTTGACTGAAACTTGTGCGAACAGTCAAACCTTGAGAACGTCATATCCGCACGACGTGTGGTCTTCCACGTCGAACGTCAGGAATGACATAGAGATGGTGCTGCCGGCGGTGGCGTTGATCATGTAGCGGCAGGTCGCCATGTCCAGGTAATAACCCGGGTACCCGGGCGACCTGATCTCTCCAAAAGCACCGTCGAAGTAGTACTGTCCGCAGTCAGGGTGGATGCCGACTGTAACCGGAAAAACAGAGACAATGTATGTACGTGATATTGTGTGCATGCTGCAAAAACGTAGCTTAACAATTTTGATTTTTGATGATTATTGATAATGTAGGTAGAAGCACCATTCCCGAAATAGTGCTGTCCACAGTTAGACAGTTAGGATGGATGCAAAGTATATCCCCGACATTGTGAGCTGGAAAAGCAAAGCTCAAGACGTTTTTTTGTAGTTCGACGCGATTCGTGTTTGGCAACTTATTGTCAGACACAACTAGGATAGTGATTACATTGTGGTTATGCAACCCAATATCGAGATATGCGGTGATGTTATAGAAGTGCATGACTGGTACTCTGTGCTCTATACAGGTTTTCACGGTATACTTATTATAAAGTTTATTCTCTCTCCTTCAGTTGAAAACTACAAACAGCTCGTACCTTGGCAGGGCCAGGGGCAGGATTCTGTTTCAATGTTGTGTCCCTCGCAGCCGTTCGGGTCCGAGCAGAACCGCCGGCGTGTCTTGGTGCAGGTTTCGTCACACGGGCTCCACTCCGTCCACTCACTCCAGCCGACAGGCATGTCTGGACAGAGGGACATGAGAGAATATTAGGTCAGTTAGTCCTCACCTTCAGTGCGTCAAACTTGTCTCAATCATGATGTTTCTCTTTTTCATATTATGAATGAGAAAAGCATGTGTGTGATACATTTTTCTTACGTTTGACATCACAGGCGAGAGTAAAAAAGGATCACTAGAAAACGTTATCCCCTTTTCACACGGACTGGCCGTCTGTCTTCATATCCAGATATGAGAATCATAATAGCTATCATTCCCACTAGGATGAAATTGTCCGGATCGAGTCGCTTCAATCCGGCTTCGATTCGGCTCGAAACAGGATCGAACCAGGTTAAACCGACTCAATTCGGCTCGATCCGGCCAATTTTATCCTAGTGGGAATGGAAAGTCTACACGTAAATTCCTCTAAAAACATGTGTACTCACGGCAGCTGTACAGAGCGTTCAGCTTGGCCACGTCGATGTCGCTGAAGCCGTTCCTCTGACCCAAAGTTGGCGCCTCGGGGTCCCGGGCCACGATGGTGGGGCTCCCGTTGGAGCTGAAGGCCGTGGCGCTGTAGTGCATGACGGAACCAAAGTCATAGGCCTGGCCCAGCACCGTCACATCAACCTCCGAGTACCTGTTGAAGTTGTGCTCCGTACCTGTCCAACGACAATACATTCAACCATTCAACAACTACAATTGAACATAGCACAAAAAGGTATAGACTAAAACTTAAAATACATTGTACTACAGTATATACTACAACAGCAAGGGCTAGTATAAGTCATTGATATAGTATTATAATTGAGTGGGACCAACCATGACTTTCGGTATTTTTTCTAATAACCAAGCAGTCTATATATTTACCTATTTTAGCATTGTGTGAGTTATTGCATCTAAAGATATATTCCAATCTGTCTGTATCACCACAAGATACCAAAGTGTAAACAAATTAAAACATTCAAACATGGCTGAAAGCTGTGTTTCCAGCTTTTAAAACACACGCCAATGGCATAATACTTGGAACCTGAACTCCCTCAATGGCACTTTGCAATGTTGTGCGGGTTGATTCAACTTATCTTGTAAAGAAATGGCCAGAAAATTGACTTTTTGTATCGTCCTTAAGTTACATATAGCAGCCCTAAGAAATGTAGTTCTCTTGAGTTAACCATGGCTTACCAGACTGAATGTTCTCCCACTGGATGATGACGTACTCGTCCCGGTCGTAGCGGGACTGCTCGTGCCAGAAGCCGGCGGCGTGCATGAACTCGTGGATGGCGATGCCGTGGTACACGCACCCGTTCCCGAGGGACAGCTCCTGTCGACCGCCCTGCACACCCACGTAAGACCAGCATCTGGAACAGAATTTAAACAGCATTATATTTACGTTTACCGAAGGAAAACATATTGTTTTTGCTCAGTTTCTTCTCCAAACAAATAATATCAATGACCTGAACCTGACGTCTATCACCATGGTAACTAGTGTTGGGTTACATCATGTTTTAATTTTATAGCAGGAGAGATTTAGACTCCTGCTACCATATAGTATATAAATGTGTTTGAGTAAGAATTAACAGAGCAGACCATATGCGAAGGTAATAAACATTATGCATTTGTTTTGCAAATGTCTTTTCTGTATTAGACACATTGTGACCGGTTTACAATTTATTTCAACCTGTTAGCTGAATAATGGTATACGGACGCATGACCAGAAATAGGTGGACCGAATTCACTACGTCAAAACATTAATGTACAAATTAATTCAAAATCCGTACGGTCAACCCATGGCCCAATAAAGAGGCGGCGCGTGTACGAACAATATCCTCTTTGCGCACAAAGCTCCTCCATAGAGGTTGTTCGTGCGGCCTCAGTCAAACGCACCAAGTGCCAGAGATTATGATGGCGTCTTACCCGCTTCCCTTGTGGATGTCCAGGTAGTCTACCTCGTTAGTCCTCGGCACCAAGGTGATGCAGGTGCGGACCGCGTACTCGTCCATCGCCTCCTGGATCACGGCCTGTTCCGTACTCGCTGAGAAAAAAAATCCATGTCATCTAAATACACATATACCAAGAATACCTTTCACAGTGTAAACCACCATGGTGATCATCATATCATTATATCAGATAAGTTTATTGCAAATTCCTGCCCGAAGGCTAATTGCGAATAACAAAGATAAAAGGACATTGAAACAGAGTACAAAATAACTGCAAAATGTATATAATAAAACAAGATAATACGTATCAACTTTATAACAATAGGAGAGTAAACGAAATTAGGCAAATGGGTACTCAGTATTATTGGAAAGCGCAACTAAGGCGGTCTTTTGTACATTTTACCATGCATTGAAACAACTGTATGTGGCCAGAGTGTGTTGATTGAAGTTTGAGTCACAAAATCAGATGTTCTGTACATCTTATTTCATTTGAAGAACCAGAAGAAAGCGGTACGTGATGCGATCATCAAGACATATACTTCTAAAAAAGGAAGAGTTTGTTTTGTGCACGTGAATCAACTCTGAAATGTCTTACAGAAGTGTCCACTCCTCAGCTCGTACGGGATGATCCTGGTGGCCCAGACCTTAGAGACATCGCGGATTCCGTTCCGAGAAGTCTGGGGAAGAACAGACGACAAAATTCACCTGTCTCGAGTTCGTTGTAAAATAACTAATCATATATTTTTCTTTGTGTTGCAATGATACTTAGTTTACAGATCATTTTGAAAGTTGTTTCATCAATTTTCGTAGCGGCCTTAGCACAAACATTGGGATAGCAATCAGTTAGCCCCTCAGGTAGGGGAAGAACTGGCTGGCTGACGTATAGAAGGAAACCTCGAGTAATAGTCGCTTGTTAAGTGAGGTCTTGATGTCTTTAGGTAGATAATGCTTACCACAGTTTGCGGGATGTCCCCCTCAAACAGGTTAGTATCTGAAGGAAAAGAAACAACAGCAATTGTTTCAAAAAGGTGTAGGGCTTCGATAACAAGAATGTTCCATACTTAATCGAAAGGGGCATTACAGATATTCTTTTTAGCATGTTTGGATCCAAAACGTGGTGGTCATATAAAAAAATAGAAATAGTGAAAAAGTTATAATAATCTCGCAGATGCATACTACTTTCCTATCCAGCACTGGAGAGTTTTCAGTTCGGGTACGAAAAGATCGTATAACGATGTTCAACACTGTGAAACCTTTTATTTCTATATGTAACAAAATCTTTAAATGAAAGACTCACCGCGATTGGCTGCTAGGATCTTGTCCATCACGGTTTCCACTGTAAAAAAAATATGCAAGGAAAGACGTTGCAATACCTTTTTTGTTTTCATGATGTTTGGACTCGAATTTTTGTTACAACGTTAACTTTTGTCGTATATAGCGACATGACGGAGTCTATAATTTAGTGTACATGTATGCATATTCATGACGGTGATAATTGCATTCAAGCGAAGTCAAGTTCTCTTTGATGCAGACGTTTCATATGTCCTTGGCACTGAACGTATGCGCACTTCTTCAGACACGTGCAATAACACTTGTTATGTAACAGAGTAAAGCTATGATTTACGTGTGAACCTGATTTTCACAAACACATGCTGAAGAGACGGACAAGTGGTCCTCTCGGATGTTATTACGCCCAGGCCATATCATAAAACACTAAATCAATCACTTGATATCCGGCGATTATATTTCACGATAACATCATGTATGCAAATTAGCAACTTATGTCTAACTCTACCAGCCAATCGCTAATCAAAACGTTGTATGTAAATGTGATGAACGAATTATGATATGATTTGTACCTGTACGGCCCCTGACCTCCTGCAAAAACCGATGCCATGGTCACGTACAAGGTTGAAAAGAAAAAAAAAATGACAAGGTAAGTATACATCTTAGCAATCCAACTCATGGCTCAATGGCTCGAAACAGTACATAAACAAGATATTATTTGTCAATAAATGGGTTATTTAGTCCCGTTTACACCACTATGTAAGACGCGAAAACAGTTCGTTTCCATCCAAAACTTTTGGAAATGACTTTTTTTTATTCCAACATGTAATCACCAGACGTGGTGACGACACACTCAAGTTTCTTCAACTTATATTAATGCCGCCACCAACACAGGGGACAAATACATTACAGGACAATACTCATTTACACCTGAGCTAAGTGAGGAAAGCCATGTAAAGTGCCTTTCCTAAGGGCACAAGATCGGTGGCATGTCAGGACTCGAACCCGGGACTCTTAGTTCCGAGTTGCGCACTCTGCCGCTACGCCACACGACTCCACTAATGACTTTGAGAATTGTAGTAATATTAGTATTGTCGTAGTATTGTACATGTGTAATTAATAAGGACACAGATGTAAACCATATCATTAAAACTATCTGTGAGACTACCGATGTCTTAAAAGGACCCCCTGTCACACATTCAAGGATTTGACGTCCCAATCACTAGCCGAACCATGCTTAGGAGGACGTCGGCGCAAAGTCGGCTGGCGTTTGGTGAGGTCGGCTAACATTCGATCAGTGTTTAAATACAAGCTTTCAGGAACAAGTCAGTAGTGTTCTGGGCGTGTTCATTTCAGGAGTCAAATTTAACTCAAATTGAAATCAAGTTCGTTTCGATTCATTAAAAAAGGTAGGCGTGACCTAAATTTGGCCAGACTGCTCCCGAACGTCAGCCGAACCTTGTCGGCTGGTGTTTCGGAACAAATTCGCGAGAAGGTCGTGAATGTGTGACAGGGGCTTTAATTGACGTTGATCGCTCAGACGTGATTGTACACAAGCATATTACTCCATATTAGAATCATAAGCTGTTATGTTTTCAAGGTCTGTAAACTCTTAAAAATACAAAAACAATACATGTATTTTGTAAACATGTTGAAAAGGCACCTACCATGACAGGAAGACCCGTGCAATGCACAGCCAGAAAAGTCACGGCGAAAATTCCCCAGATGCCCATGATTGTCGTTTCAGTCGACCTCAAGACGGCGTGTTTCTGGAACTAGCTAGCAGCCGTGAACGTTCCTTTTATACTCGTTGTCCATGCATGAAGCTCTTATTATATTTCAGTCCATACCATGGTATGGATGAAATATATTGTGTTCTCTCATGTTTCTTCTCCTTCTCCTCCTTCTCCTCCTGCCACACAGTCAAAGGGATTCAACTCTGTCATTTTTTAGTCAAATGATCTGAAATTTGGCATGGAGGTAGAATGGGCCAATACCCCCAGGCGTTTTTTTTTTCATTTTTTTGAT